AAGTGGAGGATTCATGCTTCTAGACGCCGGATGGGAGAACTTGGCAAGTAAGTAAGCCTACTTGATTTGGAATTTGTTGTTCTCTGATTTTTTTTTCATGAAAGTTATAATTTGATTTGCTATTTTTTCAGATAAAGAAGCTTCCTTACCCACATAATTGTGCTAGCATAGCTGGTGTGGAGAACAATTGCATGGCCACAAATTCCTGGGTGAGAGATCGTGTGATCAATAAATTGAGGCAAGAACCAACTATTGGTGCTACTGCTTTAAAGAAGGTGTTGGAAGAGATGTACAAGATAAAGATTTCCTACTACGTTGTTTGGGACGATAGACAAATGGCACTTGATGAGATCCTAGGAAAATGGGAGGATAGTTTTGATGCAGCTTACAGCTTCAAAGCAGAATTAGAGAGGATAAGTCCTAGATCCATTGTGGAAGTTGATCATGTTTCAGTGAATGGGAAGAACCATTTCAGTAGGATGTTTGTGGCACTAAAACCTTGTGTTGATGGTTTTTTGAATGGTTGCAGACCATATTTAGGGATTGACTCAACAGTACTAACTGGAAAGTGGAGGGGGCAATTGGCATCGGCAATTGGTGTTGATGGCCATAATTGGATGTTTCCTGTTGCCTATGGGGTGTTTGAGTCTGAAAGTACAGAAAACTGGGCTTGGTTCATGGATAAGCTTCACATGGCAATTGGGTCCCCAGTGGGTTTGGTTCTGTCCACAGATGCTGGCAAAGGCATTGACACAACTGTGACCAGAGTATTCAACAATGGAGTTGAGCACAGGGAATGCATGAGACACTTGGTGAAGAACTTTCAGAAAAGGTTCAGTGGTGAAGTGTTTGAGAGGAATCTATGGTCTGCCTCAAGAGCCTATAGGCAGGACATATATGAGGGTCACTACAATGAGATGAAAGAGGCATGTCCTAGAGCCACAGAGTGGATTGATGACTTCCATAAGCACATTTGGACTAGAAGTAAATTCTCACCTGTTAGTAAGTGTGACTATGTCACAAATAACATAGCAGAGACCTTCAATAGTTGGATCAGGCATGAGAAATCACTCCCTGTTGTTGATCTGATGGATAAGATCAGACATATGATCATGGAGAGAATTTCTATTAGGAAAAGGCTTGCTGAGAAGCTGACTGGACAAATTCTGCCAAGTGTTATGAAGACACTGTATGCTAGGAGTAGGGACCTTGGATATAAACTGTACTCAGCCCACAAGCACCTAGGGGAGATAGGTGGCACTGGTAGGGACTTGAAGACATGGAGGCACACTGTTGACTTGAACACTAGAGAATGTAGTTGTAGGCAATGGCAGATAACAGGCATACCTTGCACACATGTAATTTTTCTGATCATTTCAAGGAGGGGGCTTGAATTGGAACAATTTGTTGACGAGTACTACTATGTTGCAGCATTCAAGAGGGCATATGCTGGTCATGTGGTTCCAATGACAGACAAGGCCCAATGGGCTAAGGGTAATATTGGATTGAAGTTACATCCACCTCTGTTGAAGAGGTCAGCTGGTAGACCTAGAAGCAGAAGGATTAAGGGGGTGGAAGAAGGTGGAGTAGGGAAAAGAAAGTACAGATGCAAGAGGTGTGGTCAATTTGGCCACACCAAGAAAACCTGTAATGAGCCAGTTCATGACCCAAATGCCCCACCACCAGCCCCACCAAAGCCCAAAAGGAAAAGAGTGAAGAAAGTTGTTCTATCTGTGCAAGATCCTCCATTACAAGAATCAACAGCAAATGTCTAAGTTCAAAGCTGTGCATTTTTTTACAACTGAAATGTTTAGATTCAAATGTGTAACCCAAACTAGACTAAAAGCTGATTTTATTTGGCATTTTCACATTTTGCAGGTCCACACCTACAAGATCTAGACCATCTGTGGTCACTACTACAAGCCCTATAACAAGGAGCAGGGCAAGGGCTCTCAATTTGGATGTTGCAGCTCCACCCACAAACCAGGAGAAGAATACTAGAAAATCTCCAAGCAAGAAGGCTGGTGGTGGCAAATGAAGTTTATTTTCGCTTTTGTAGATGTGGGTAAGCCTGCTAATGGACTGGATTGGAATGGGTTAAATGGATTGGTTTTGTATTTGGGTTTGCTTTGGTTGGATTGAAATGGGCACACGCTATAAATGGGTTGGATCAATTTGGATCCACCGGAAAAGAGGATTGGGGCGGTTTGGTGATGGTTATGATTTTTTGAGTATAATGTGGATTCAGTCCATGGATTGAGCCCATGGATTGTGAATGGTTTCCACTAAGAAGGCTAGATCAGGTCTCAGTCGTGGACAACACACTCCAGCGGTCGATGAGACAATGCATGTTCCCTGGTCGATTAACAAGCTGCATCGCGGCCGCCTCCTCCTCCGCTCGCACTGGCTCCGGCACCGATTCCTCCACAGGCGGCCTTTTCACATCCGCGGAGGACGGCAACGGCGACACCACGGCTTTGACTGAACAACCGCGTCCACCTGCCTCTCTACCTCCTTCTGCCTCGCCGCCTCCACCAGAAAGGGAGGCGGCGGCGGCGATGGCAGCGGCTTCTGCCTCGCCGCCCTGGGCGCCGTCGCCGGCGAGGGGGAGGACGAAGGCGGCCGTTGCCCCTGCAGCAGCTGCTGCTGTTGTAGCAGCAGCATCTGCTGGCGGCGGAAGTGAGACGGGCTGTAGAACCGGTCGCTCAACATGTAGCCTCCACGGGACGACGACGACGCCAGACGGGTGGACCATGGCGGCGGCGCCAGAACAAGCTGCATCGCGGCCACCGCGTGCTCGGCTTGACAGACGGCGAGGTCGACGCAAACATGTCGCTGACGCTATGAACGCCGGCTTGCTGCTGCCGTTCAGGTTGTGCGTGACGAAATGCATGTTCTGGTTGATGGTGAATCAAATGGGTTTGTGGTCGGGGTGGATTCTAAATGGTCTGAAATGGTTTGACAGGGTGGACTGAATCCATAGGAAGGGAATGGGTTGGTGCGGTGTGGACTGAGGTGAGAAATGGATTGGATTGGTTTGGATTCTGAAAGGAGATTTGCGGGTTGGGTTGGTTTGAACTATTTGAGCTAACTGCTGTGGTGTGGATTGGGAATGGGGCGGGTCTTAGGGCATCAGCAGGCTTAGATGTGGGATGCAAACATGCCCCTTTAACCTGACTGTATGGCACCATGCCAATATGTGCTATGTGCACTTCTTTTGTATAGCTATCTGCTCTGGGCAGTGTGGTGGCCAATATGTCATATGTGGCTTTTGTATAGACCAAGTTTAATGGCTTTTGTGCTATGGCTATGTGACAGTTCATCATGACACTATATCTTGCTGTGCAATGGAATTGAATTTGCCCTTTTGATATGTGATTATGACATGTGATTGTACAAATTATGCACAGATGCTGCCAAAATTTCTGCCAATTCTATCTATATTTGAGTTACCAGTTAAATTTACAGCTAAAATGCTGCCAATTAAATTGGGCATTTTTGTCAAATAAAGCAAATACACATACAAATCAACACATCTCTCAATATCATTTCATGATTCATTCTTCAAACAAGTCAATTTCAGACAACCACATTACATCAACCAGATTCACATTACATAGGTACCAACATACTCTTTGGTTGCTTGCCTACTTGCTAATGACAACTACCAATATCAACAGCAACAACAAAGCTTGCACAACTGCCAGGTACACTAACATTCGTCCCAGTGCTGCACATCCCTTCAATGGTAAGCCCTCAATCCCCATCGACGACAGTGCTTCAACATTGAACTGCTCATATCCTGTCTGATATCCCAGACCTACATGGCCATCGGCCAAAAATTGCTCATATTGACCTTCCCACATAAAAAATCTGCAAGCGTATGGTGTCTGCAAAAAATTTTAATTCATTGGATCAGCAGACCGAACAACAAAAAAATCGAATTCAACTGATTCTAAAGCATATACTCACATTCTCAAGATTAGGGCACTTCACAAAATTCTTGTTTGGATTCTTCGGGGTCCTCGAGGTCCGAGCCACCAGCTGGGTCCCGCACAATGGACATTTGCCCAAGAACAACTCACCGGTGCGGCGACGTACTGCCAAAGAAGAAGCAGAGCCATCCATCTTTACCGCCGCAGCCACCTAAGCCGAGTAGGTCTTCGTCGCCGCTGATGTCGCCGCCGTCGCTAAAGCCTCCCCCGCCACCTCCCCCGCCACCGCCGCTGCCGCCGCCGCAAGCTAGGGTTAGGGATTGGGGATTTTTTTCTCGGTGGTGTGTGGCGACGAAAGAGATCAACCCCGTTTCGACTCGACCGAGTCAGCTATAGATGGCGACAAGGGTAATCTGGGCATTTTGACAAAAAAAGAGACCACTTTCAACCGGGAAATGATAAAATAATGGCGCTAGTGTCCTACAGCAAATTACACAGTTTTTGTAGTGTCCTGGGGCAGCTCCACGTTTTCGCGGTGTCCCTCAGTCAATTACACGTTTTTTGTGTGTCCTGTAGCAAATTTTGCCTTGGTTTTTTTAGGAGATGCAGCCCGTTATGTCTGGGACGGAACTGGATTGTGAACATCCCATTTCAGCCGCAGGTCCGTTTGTGAAATTGTTTTAAGAAATATACGTTCTCCCTCCGTTTTATATTATAAATCATTTAACTTTTTTTTCTAGTCAAATTTTATTAAGTTTGATTAAATTTATAGAAAAAATTAGCACTATCTAAAATTTCAAATTAGTTTCATTAAATTGAACATCAAATATATTTTTTAAAGGAACATCGAATATATTTTGATAATATGTTTGTTATGTATTGAAAATACTATTATATTTTTTTATAAACTTGATTAAATGACTTATAATACGAAACGGATAGAGTATATCTTTTCAAGAAAAGAAAAAAGGACAAGACTTGACCGATGAGTGACGACTGTGCTTGCGACATGGATGATGGATCGGATCAACTGATCAGCCGTCTTGGGATCGAGAGATCTGGATGACAACACACACGTTCCCATCAAGCTAGCTGCTGGCTCCGACCTCCAGCGCCAGGTACATCGGTAATACTGTACAAGTCAGTCAACTGCACGCTCCCAAGTTCCATCCAATCCACGCTCCAATTGCTGTTGCTGCTATAGCTACATATAACCCAATTGCCCGACCAAATATAACCGAGCCAACGACTACACCTCGGGAGGGTACACGGCGATCGAGTAGCTCGAGAACGAGACGTGGCAATGGCGGGAGACGGCGAGCTGAAGCTACTGGGGATGTGGACCAGCGCGTTCGTGCTCAGGGTGCGCTTCGTCCTCAACCTCAAGTCACTGCCGTACGAGTTCGTGGAGGAGAACCTGGGCGACAAGAGCGACCTCCTCCTCGCCTCCAACCCGGTCAACAAGACCGTCCCCGTCCTCCTCCACGCCGGCCGCCCCGTCAACGAGTCGCAGGTCATCCTGCAGTACATCGACGAGGCCTGGCCCGACCGCCCCCCCGCCGTGCTGCCCTCCGACCCCTACGAGCGCGCCGTGGCGCGGTTCTGGGCGGCATACGTCGACGACAAGGTGCGGCTGGCGTGGCTGGGGATCCTGTTCCGGAGCGAGACGGAGGAGGAGAGGGCGGCGGCGGTGGCGCAGGCCGACGCGGCGCTGGAGACGCTGGAGGGCGCGCTCCGGGAGTGCTCCGGGGGGAAGCCCTTCTTCGGCGGCGACGGCGTCGGGCTCGTCGACGTCGTGCTCGGCGGCTACCTCGGGTGGTTCACGGCGATCAAGAAGCTGATCGGGCGCAGGATGATCGACCCGGCGAGGACGCCGGCGCTGGCCGCGTGGGAGGATCTCTTCCGCGCCACCGATGCGGCCAGGGGCGTCTTGCCGGATGACGCCGACAAGATGCTCGAGTTCAGGCAGACGGCACTCGCCTTGGGCGCCTCCAAAAAAATCACTCTGTGACACTAAAGACATGTATGTGGCACGCCATGCGTATCCAAGCTAAGTTTGTGAGGCTGCGACAGGCAGCCATATACATCTAGTTTTGTTTCTTCCATGGCCCATGGCGTGCTTAATTAAATTGTTTTCTTCTCGATGCTACTTTTGACTTTGTATCAAAGACAATGTAATAAGTGGTTGTAAAGGCTTGATTTTATCCATTATAAGAACAAATGGCATGCTTAATAATTATGTAGGACATCCATTCATCCATCTATCTATCCCAGTTGAGCTCTCTGGTGCTCTCTACTGGTAGTATTATACTACTAGTATTATTAGAAGTAAATTAGTAGTACCACCCAAATGACGGTAAAAATCAAAGCTGTGGAAGCAGAGGAAAGAATCCATGGCCATGCGGAGCTTGCTACTAACTTCTTTCTTCCGTGAAGAACGTGCTGAGGCTATTCGGCTGCAAACTGCAGCGGCAACCTGTGGGCGAGGAGACGCCGTAATTCGGACGCTTGACAGAAAGTTCAGAACTTGAGACCCACCGAACCGAAGACCAAACACGTCCCGATGTGATCATGTTAGCTCTGTTTTTCTCTCGGATTAGATCACAATCTTGACTCTTCTAACTGCAAGCGTACACTGACATCGCATCTGGGCTTGGGTCATGATCGCGAGTTCGCGACCAACAAACGGTCTCTTTTGATTGGGCCGTACCGGATGGCGACGAAGATGAAGCGGGCGGTACTCTAACTGACGTAGAATAAGTTCACTTACTTTCCTTCAGCTTTGCGTCGAGTTTGTTTGATATCCTTAATCCTTGGTACCAGAAATCTTGACCGTGCAACTTAGATCCCATAGCAGTATAGATCCTATTTTACCCTGTTTTTAATGACGTGACAGATGTCTAGGCCCACTTGTCAGGCATGGTGCCCCTCATCCCGACCCCACCTCGCGTCTACCTCGGTGGCTACGCGCCACCACCGCTGGAGCATCCCTTTCGCCCCCACACCACCTTTGTTGTCATCGCTTCCCGCACCTGACAAAGATCTCATTCCCCTCACCCCTCACCACATCATCCGACCAGCTCTACCACCTGTTCCACCCGCAACTGTTCCAGCACAGGGAGAGGAAGGCTGTGGAAGGCGCGGCCGGCGAGGTTGAGGCAAGGCGGGAGGAGGTGGACACTGAGGACGACGCGACTGGCGAGGTTGAGGCGGGATTAGCGGAGGCGGACGCTGAGGACGGCGCGGCCCGCGGCATCGAAGACGAGGGCGAGAAGAAGGGTCATTGGAATGGGCATGCGCGGGGAAATTGAGAATTAGGACTGAGCCACCACGAGATCGAGGCAGAAGATGGTTGATCCGCACCGCCAGCTACTGCCATCGTCGTCTCTCCCATCACCCGCGTCACTCAAGAGAGAGGAGTCAAGGCGGCCGCTCGAGCTTGGTGACGTCGGAGCCACCCTTTCCCTCTCTAGCTGATGTCGTGCCCGGGAAACGGGAGCCGTCACACCGTGTTGACTCCGCACTAGCAACATGAACTAGCAGCAACAGATTCAATTAATAATGGCGGAGCAGTAGAAGACATCTGCCGGCGACGCGGGACAACAGGAGCTCAGCCGTGCTCACCAACCGCCTCCCCCCCTCTCCCGCCTCTGCCTCCCTTGCATGGAGGCCGAGCGAGCTCGGACAGGCTTGTCGTACGTAGGGCTGGACGAAAAGCTCGTGACTCGTTAGCTCGCTCGACTCGTGACAAGCTCGGCTTGGCTCGGCTCGACTCGTTTCGTTTTATTAACGAGCCGAGCTGGGATTTTAGCTCGTTAGCTATAATGAGCCAGCTCGAGCTGGCTCACGAGCTGCTCGCGAGCCAAACGAGCCAAGCAACAAAGCAGGCGGCAACAGCAGCGCCCTATGCGGCTAGCAAGCAGTAACGATCGTGGGCCAAAGAAAAGCCCATTTGGCACATCTCCAAGGTACATTTTATAACCCTAAATCGTCTCATCCTCTTCGTCCTCTAGCCGCCGCCGCTAGTTGTCGAAACTCTCCGCGTCCATTAGCCCACCAGCGCCGTGTTCTCGTCGGCTGCTGCTCCTCGCCTCCTCCTCTACATACATCAAAGTGCAGCAGTGTTGGTGCCTGAAATAGAAGCAAAGCACAGCCTTGCTCTCATCGCGCGTCATTGGGATTGGACTTTCCGTCCATGGCTGCTTTCAATATTGAGGATTTTTTCAGGAAATCGACAAGATTCAATCAAGATTCTGGAAAGTTGGTTGTGCACTTGCATGTTGTTGATATCTCAGCCCCTGTGCTTCAATCTTGCTATTCCTGTCCCTTGAATCTTATTCTTGAAGATTTGAATGCTTCTTTTCTCATGGTGCTCTTGATTTGATTTTGGCATCCATCTTCCCTGTCACCTGAAACTCCTGAACTCAACTAGCACTGGTGAGCTCACGAGCCAAACGAGCTAGCTCGAGCTTTTCGACGAGCCGAGCCGAGCTGCAGTTATAGCTCGTTTGCTTATCGAGCCGAGCCGAGCTAGCTCGCTATGTTAACGAGCCGATGCGAGCCGAGCCGAGCTGAGCCGAGCTAGCTCGATATCCACCCCTAGTCGTACGCCTCCCCCTCCCTCCCAAGCTCACCGGCCTCTCCCCCACTCTCCCGCCGCCACCTCCTCCTCTCCTGGGAAGAAAAGGACGCTGACACACGGGCCCCTTTTTTTCACTAACTCGGATGCCACGTCATGAAACTAGACATCCATATTGCAATAGGACTTAAATTTTGTATAGTTTAGGGGTGAAAATTTTTTGTATTGGAGATAAGAGATGTCAAACGATTTCGACGTAAATATGAGGTACGACAAGTGGACTTACCCATATAGGCCGAAATGGAATCGCAACTTACGTCAGGCCATATTAATTGGGCCAGAATTGGATTTTAACGTACGTGAGGTCCATATTAATTAGGCTGAACGGGATCGTAACTTACATGCGGCCCACGTGAACACGCGCACACACACTATTCATATAAGCACCTCCAAACGACTGGATTGTCATATCTTAAGATTAACGAAGTCACGCTCGCTGTCGATGGGTACGTCACCTACCACTTAAAGAAAATTAGTCCTAAAAGCCAGCACCCATCTCAAGTCTATCATTTGAAACAATATGGGTTGGTTCCACCACAAGTAACTTAATCAATTCAACTACGTTCACATCGCTTATTGTGTTTTTTTTAGGATTAGTCGATTGGATTACTGTTTTCGAAAACATGCTTAGGTCGGGTTTGATTCAACTACTTGGTTGAGCTACTTTCTCGTTTTATATGTTCAAACTGCTAAATGTTGTGTTTCATGAAAAACTGTATATAAAGGTTTCTTTAATAATTAATTAAATTAAAATTTTATTTAAATTATTTTTTAAAATTTATCATACTTAATACTTAATTAATCTCTATTTTGCGTGAAACATGTTAACCCAACCAAACCTTATTTTCAAAGGCACCGTAAGTAGGTAAGTAGGGATGAAACTGGTTCGGATAGCTTCCGTCCGTCCGGACCATTTTTCGGATTCGGATAGTTTCGGTCGGAATTATCCGGAAATTCTCGGATTCGGAAACGAATTCGGATATTTTTTCTCGGAAACGAAAACGAATACAGTAAGGGTACTATCCGTCGGAATCGGAAAACGGTCGGAAACTATCCGGATTTTTTTTTTTGGATATCCGCATACATTGAGAAAATTTTAGAAAAAATACGTATATATACATAACTTTTTCATACGGAATCAGATGAAGACAAACTTTATATCAATATTGTAGAGCTCGATGAGATCTACAACTTTATTATTGACTACTTTATTAAAAATAATAAGCGATATCTCTTTCTTGATTAAGAAACTCAATTTGAGGGGGTTTTTATATACCGGTAAATATTTGCTACCGTATTCGTTTCGTCTCGTATTCGCTCCGTATCTGTATTCGATAATATTCGATTTCATTTCCGTATCCGAGTTTTCGATTCCGATTCCAATTCTGAAAAAAATATGAAAACGAATATGATAAAGCAATTTTCGATCCGTTTTCATCCCTAACCGTAAGTGCAGTAGAGCATGACGTATTGACGTGCAGTACTGTACACATCCTAATCCTACTACGCAGCCGCGTAGCCATTGCCCGGCTACCACAAACAACTGGGCTCAACATTGAATGCACCATTATTTTTCTCAAAAGAATTTAAAGTTAATAATTTTATAGTAAATACTAGGTATGTTTAAGTTTATCCCGGCTCGAAAATTTCTCGGCCGCTGTAAGTATGTGATTGTCAGTTTGGTACAAGCAATACTTCAAAAACGTACGCAATATGTATTAGTGCATTACACATCTACCCAACAAGCTGGAATAGCTCAGTTGGCTAGAGCGTATGGCTGTTAACCATAAGGTCGGAGGTTCGAGCCCTCCTTCTAGCGAGTTTTTTGTTTTATTTTTTGCAAATTCAGATTTTTATCCACATTCAATTTCATTTTTCTCCTATTCATATTTTCTCCATTTGTTTTATTTTTTGCAAATTCAGATTTTTCTCCACATTCAATTTCATTTTTCTCCTATTCATATTTTCTCCATTTTTTTTGTTTTATTTTTTGCAAATTCAGATTTTTCTCCACATTCAATTTCATTTTTCTCCTATTCATATTTTCTCCATTTTTTTTGTTTTATTTTTTGCAAATTCAGATTTTTCTCCACATTCAATTTCATTTTTCTCCTATTCATATTTTCTCCATTTCTTTTTTATTTTTTGCACATTCAGATTTTCTCCACATTCAATTTCAATTTTCTCCTATTCATATTTTCTCCATTTTTTTGTTTTATTTTTTGCAAATTCAGATTTTTCTCCACATTCAATTTCATTTTTCTCCTATTCATATTTTCTCCATTTTTTTTGTTTTATTTTTTGCAAATTCAGATTTTTCTCCACATTCAATTTCATTTTTCTCCTATTCATATTTTCTCCATTTCTTTTTTATTTTTTGCACATTCAGATTTTCTCCACATTCAATTTCAATTTTCTCCTATTCAGATTTTCTCCATTTCTTTTTTGCATATTCAGATCTTTCTCCATATTCAATTTTCTCATGTGTTATTTGTTTTTCATATTCAGATTTTCTCCATATTCAATTTTCTCCTGTGCTTTTCTTTTGAAAATATTCAGATTTTTTTTTTGCATATTCAGATTTTTCTCCATATTCAATTCACTCCTGTGTATTTTTTGAAAATATTCAGATTTTTCTTCTGTGCTTTTTTTGCATATTCAATATTCAAATTTCTCCTGTGTTTTGCTATGTTTTTTTTCGGAAGGGAAGTTTTTTTTTTTGCATATTCAGATTTTCTCCTGTGTTTTGTTTCTTTGCATATTCAATTTTCAATTTTCTCCTGTGTTTTTTTATGTTCTATTCAATATTCAATTGTCTACTGTGTTTTGCTATGTTCTTTTGTGTTGTTTATTCATTTTTCTCAAGTGTTTTGCTATGGCTCTTGCATTTGCATCTATGACCCGTACATTCTGCACATGGATAAGCCTAAAACAACGTCCCCTATTACAGTGACAAATCTGAACAAAATGATAATGACACGTGACAAAGGGACTGTGAAATCGAGGTGACAAACACACCAAAGAATGAAACAACGGGGTCACAAATTTGGTATCCTCTGATCGTATCACGAACGCCCTAATCCTCCTCTGCTGACAGTGACAGGTGAGCATGTCCAATCAATTTAATTATAGTTAGTCATGAACTGCCTCTAATGGATTCCAAGAATTGCACCACCTCGGCCATGCTCGGCCGCCGCGACGGCGACTCGGAGGTGCACACGAGGCCCAGCTTCAGCACCTGCACCAGCTCAGCCTCGACGAATCTCCTCATGCTCAGGTCGAAGCAGCCTGAGACCGTGCCGCTCTCCACCATCTCCCTCACGTAGTCGCGCAGGACCACCACCAACACCGTGCCCTGCCGTCCATGGCGGCTGCTCACCGGCTTCCGCCCCGTCACCATCTCCAGCAACACCACCCCGAAGCTGAACACGTCGCACTTGTCGCCGCCGTGCCTCGAGCTCATCGACGACGACGCTAGCTCCGGCGCCACGTAGCCTGGTAGGTTGCTCGGTTCGGGCAGAAGCTTGGATAGCCCGAAATCTGAGAGCTTCGCTTCGTGCTCGTTGTCCAGCAGGATGTTTCTTGATTTGATGTTGAGGTGAAGTACCTGAGGTTTGCAGTCATGGTGAAGGTACGCGAGCGCGCGCGCCGTCGCCACCGCGATCCTGAACCGCCGTTCCCATGGCAGGCCGCCGCCATCACCGCCGGTGCTCGCCGGGCCCGCACGGCGACGGCTGCCGTGGAGGTGATCGTACAATGTGCTGCCATTGTCGACGAACTCGGAGAGAAGAAGCTGGGTCGAGGGTGACCAGTAGTAGCCATGGAAGGTGACAAGGTTGGGGTGGGTGAGGCCACGTAGCCTGCCCATCTCACGCTCGAACTCCTCCTGGCTCGTGATTCTCCCCAGCGTCTCCAGCTTCTTGACGGCGATGGAGGCGCCGCTCTCGAAGCTGGCCCTGTACACGGCGCCGACTGACCCGACGCCGACGAGGCAGTTCCTGTCGAGCACCGCCTTGGTCCCGGCCTCCCAATCCTCGTACCTCGATGCCGAGCTGTTCTTCCTGAAGAGCACCAGCTTTCCGGTGATGGCGGTTGATCCCGGCGACACGATCGCCGCGCTGTCGGAGACGAGGATCTCCTCCTCGTCGTCGTGCTGCTGCTGCTCCCTCCTCCTCTTGTTCTTGTATGCCTTGATGTTCATGGCAGATACGATGCAGATCCCGACGAGTATGGCGGCTGCGATGACGATGGCGACTATCACCGGCACTCCCAATCGCCTCGCGTTCCGGCCTGGACAGGCATGGTCCAATGGCGGACCACAGAGGAATGGATTGCCCATGAATGCCGTTGGGCCGAACTGCTGCAGCAATGGAGAAGATGGGATTGAGCCGGTGAGGTTGTTGAAGGACACGTTGAAGTGTGCCAGGTTGGAGAGGTCGCCGAGCTCCGGCGGGATCACGCCGGTGAGCGCATTCTCCGAGAGGTCAAGGAAATTCAGGTTCTTCAGCTGCGACAGCGCCGCAGGGATGCCGCCGGTGAGGCCCTGTCCATTGGCCCCCAAATTGAGTAGCATCAGGTTGCGGCAATTCGCCATGGTTTCCGGCACCGAGCCGGTGAGCTTGTTCCTGGACGCGTCGAGGTAGGCGAACCTGTCGCCGCATGTCGGGATGCTCGGGATTTCGCCGGCGAAGTTGTTGGAGGAGACGTTGAAGTAGGTGATGTTGACGAGGGCGAGAAGGCCGAACGGTGCGGCGCCGGAGAAGCTGTTGCTCCCGACGTCGAACAGGTCGAGGCTTCGGCAGCCGTCGAGCTTGCCGTCAATGGCGCCGGAGAGCGAGTTGCTCCGGACAGAAATGTAGCTCATCTCCGGCGGCGCGCACAGTTTATCGGGCAGCTCTCCGTCGAGGTTGTTGTAGGAGAAGTCGAATCCGGCGAGGCGAACGCAGTTGCCGATGCCCGGCGGGACGCGGCCGGTGAGCGCGTTGTGCGCGAGCGACACGTAGCGGAGGCGGGGGCACTCGCCGAACAGAGTCGCCGGGATCTCGCCGGAGAACGCGTTGTAGGAGAGGTCGAGCAGCCGCAGCATAGGGAAAGTGCCAAGAAACGCCGGTATCTCCCCGGAGAGCGCGTTCCCGCTGAGGTTGAGCTTGTGGAGCGTGGCCGCGAGGCCGACGAAGCTCGCCGGGATCACGCCGGAGAGGCGGTTGCCGAAGAGCGAGACGGACTCCAGCGCGGGGAGCCGCGCGAGCGACGGGGAGAGCACGCCCTCCAGGCCCTCGCCGTGGAGGCGCAGCCGCTGCACGGCGCCGGACGCGGGGTAGCAGGAGACCCCGCCGAAGTCGCGGCACGGGTCGCCGCCCAGCGTCCAGTTCGCGAGCACCGCGCCCGGATCCGCGGTCACCGCCGCCTTGAACTCCAGCAGCGCCCGCGTCTCCGCCGCCGTCGCCGCGCCCACCGGCGCCGCTGCCCAATTCAGCAGCAGCAGCAGCAGCGGCAGCAAAACCGGCAGCACCGCCGCGGCAGCCGCGCGCGGCGAACGCCTCATGTCCGCGTCAACCGACGCGCCATGCCACCGCGCGCATTGCTCCGGCCACGGCGCAATTAGCTTCTTCTAGCTCTAGATATGTGTAATCTGCAGCGAAATAGCGGCGGTGCAGTGCTGCAATTTAAGCTCTGCTTTAGGAATTTATAGTGGAAAATTGGGCTTGTTTAGTTGGGAAAAAAATTTTACCCCTCATATCACATCGTATATATGGATACACATTTGAAGTATTAAATATAGTTTAATAACAAAACAAATTACAGATTCCGCCAGGAAACTACGATACCATCATTAGAAAATATTTACTGTAGCACGATATTGTCAAATCATGGCGCAATTAGATTTAAAAGATTTGTATCACAATTTTCTGGTGAATTGTGTAATTATTTTTTTTTTATCTACATTCAATACTTCATGCATGTATATATTCGATATGACAGTGTGAAAATTTTTTGTTCGTGAACTAAACAGTTCCTTAGGAGATAGAAATGGCCGTTGCATTTCTTGGTGGGAATTGGAGGGAAATAAATCCAAGGTGACCACATCAGGAGAGAGACAGGAGTTGATGACACTGTTCACAGTGCCACTTCGCCCGTTGCGAAGCTGCAATTTACTCGAAAGTACTCCCTCTGTCAAAATGACCGAATTCTTCGGTTGTTTTTGTGTTCAACGTTTGACTGTCTATCTTATATGAAAAATTTTTATTAGTATTTTTATTATTGTTAGATGATAAAACATGAATAATACTTTATGCATGACTTATCTTTTTAAATTTTTTCATAATTTTTTTAAATAAGATGAACGGTCAAATGTTAGACATGGAAACTCAGGAATTGAGTTTTTCTTGGACGGAGGGAGTAAGATGCAGTGCGATCCGAGGGGTTCATCTTTTAAGTAATCACTAACCAAGTTTCGACCTTTCTTCTGAATTTTCTGGTGCAAAGTGTAGTAGACTAGTGGACACACCTGCAAGCCAGGAGCATGTGAGTCGCTTTGCCTTTACGTTGTATGGAACAGAGAACCAAACCTGCAAAGAGCTCTTGGAGACAAAAGTGCAAACGATTAGATAATAATCACAGTCAATCAAATTGCTGCAGTACTATTACTCCCTCCGTTTCAGGTTATAAGATGTTTTAACTTTGATCAAAGTTAAATTGTTTTAAGTTTGACTAAATTTATAGAAAATAATAATAATATTTTCAACCCAAGACAAATTTATTATGAAAATATATTCAATTATTGATTTGATAACACTAATTTAATATTATAAATATTATTATATTTATCTATAAACTTAATTAAACTTAAAATAGGTTGATTTTGACAAAAGTCAAAACTTCTTATAACCTGTAACGGAGGGAACACTTCTTACCACTCCTGATACTGAATTACTGATCAAGCTGCACCATCTAGCCATTCCGGATGGCCACATTCAGTTTCAGACAATCAACAAGCTGATCAAACAGCAAACTCGAACTAGTAATTGAATCGATCGGTTGGCATTTGAATGCGAGCATTAAGGCCCCCAGGCTGGCGTGAGGCGTCCCCTCACCGTTGGAAGTTATTGTGTGCTCCGATGTGGGGAGATCGGAGCCCCGGACGCAATCATTCTGTCACCGACTACTGAGAACGCATGGCAGATTGGGCAGGCCCGCCAGAGTGACAGAGTCCATATGGATGCATTCTTCAGTTTGTCATGCGTCCGAGGGAGGTGGCAACGCAGAGGCCGGGGAAAGCGGCATCGCGACCAGAAAACCTCGACCTGTCGATTGTCCGTGGCAGTACGCAGCATTTGCACAAGTTGTTCCCGTTGTTTGCGTCGTGCTGGCACTGCGTTACTGCAGCTCTGTTTGTTTCTGCTGTTCTTGTACACTCTGATACTGTGGTAGCACTGTAGCACTGTGACTCTAAGAAGATAGTAATACACTATTAAGGATGTTTTCTTTAAAAGTAAAACCATGAAGAGCAATGAAGGCAGAGTGAGAAAGAAGATACTTACTGGGCCTTGGGGATAGCTAGCTGTGTACATGGGCCAATTGATTTGGGCCTTCGATCCGGATCCGGTTGACTTGTTGCACACCTGAGCATTCGGTCACCAATTGCCTGGGCCGCATGCAATTGGGATTCTGACAAATTTCAGTAGTCATTTTTAACCATACTATGGGCTAGTTTAGTTGGTAAAAAAAATTTATCCCTGTCACATCGAATATACAGACACACATTTACAGTATTAAACATAGTCTAATAACAAAACAAATTAAAGATTCTACCAGAAAACTACGAGACGAATTTATTAAGCCTAATTAATCCGTCATTAGCAAATGTTTACTTAATCACCACATTGTCAAATCATGACGTAATTAGGCTTAAAAGATCCATCTCGCAATTTTCTGGCGAACTGTGTAATTAGTTTTTTTCCTACATTTAATACTCCATGCATGTGTTCAAATAATTGATGTTACAGTGCGAAAAATTTTGTTTGGGAACTAAACATGCCCTATTTTTGACAAAGTTGTTAAAAAATTGCCTACATTTAGTTTGTTGCCAAACTTTGATAAATACATAAAAACTCATGCCGAAATTTTGGTAATATTGCCAAATTGACAAAATTTTGGCAGATGCTAAAATTTGGTAAGGTTTATTTTGGCTACAATCTAAACAATCCCTCAGTTTTTTATTTGCATGCTTTCAATTGCACTTGCAGCACAAAAAAGCGATTGGAACTAAATCTGCCATGCATCATGTTTGAGGCCTTTGGTAGGGCTGCAAACTTCAAATCACAACTCTAAACTTCAACTTCAGTGGAAGCTGGCTCTTATAGAAACTGGAGCTGGTATGAAGGTGTTTAGCTACATTGGTCACCTTCATATCACTACGTCTTGCGTTACCATTTCGTCGAACACCTCGTTAACGTCCGCGGTCTTGCCAATGCCGTCGTCGTGAGCCACTGCTCATCGCCCCTGCCGACACCAATGCCACTCAGCCCGCCCGTTGCCCTGCTGCCCTCGTGCGCCGCCTGGCAGCCACGCCATCCAATCGTCGTTGCCCAACAGCCCTTGAATCATGTAGAGGATAGAGAACAGGGAGAGAGGAGGAATGAAGGGAGGAAGAATCATGTAGAGGACAGAGAACAGGGGGAGAGGACGAGTGAAGAGGCCGGTAGTTTAGTGGCATATCATGTAAATATATATATAAATAAAGATAATGGGTCTTTGGATATAGTGGAGCGGTGGAGCGAAAAAAAAAACCCAGCTCTACACCCTACAGTTTCGTGGAGCAACTATGCTAACTCTGCTTTAAAAAAAAATCTATATCGTTTGGCACAATTCTAATTTTAGATAAGTTGAAGTTGAGAGCTAGAGTTTTATCAAACGGAAAACTAAAATGCTATAAAGGGTTGAATATAATTTCATTGCATATATCGATCGACTAGCCGATCAGGACTCAGGACAAACAACGGTCAGGTTAATTCGAAATCGTCAGAGAAACAAACCGAACGGGATCACGTCGCGGTCGACGACGACGGCCGTCGGCCGGGCCGTCCGAATCCGAGAGGCGAGAGCGGCGTCAACCTGAGAGTGAGGAGAGAAAGCTAGCTATCTTTTTTTTTTTAACGACTCGCTACGGTGCGAAGTTCTATTGATATTGATAGAGCAGAAAAAAATTATAAGATTACAACCCCGGAGAGTCTTAACCAGGAAAAGGAAAAAAAAATAGCACCACCCACGTGCCGACATCGCCAACACACACGCCTAGGAGAAGGCTAGCACCGGATCGGCCGCCGCTAAGCGTGACCGACCGCCACTAGGCCAACAAAGGGGCACATACGAGATCGAAACCATGGCTGACGCACCGATGCTCCACCACCACACAAGCTTTGCCGACATGTGGGACCCCTTCACCGACGTCCCCCGCTGGCCAGCCTTCGTGCGCCGAAGGCCGCGCCACACCCACCGGCAGCTCCTCCTCACACCTAGGTCGCCTCCTCCACCGCCGGCCGCGCCTCTCTGCGCCAAGCCAGCCTCCTCCACCGGACGCGCCTCTCGCGCCAATCCGGCCTCCCTTCATCGGCCGCGCCTCTTGTGCCAAGCCGGCCTCCATCTCCGCCGCCCGCGCCTCTCGCGCCGAGCCGGCCTCCGCTGCCATCGGTTACGCTTCTCTGCGCCAAGCCGGTCTCCGACCCCTCCACCGAACGATGCCGCGCCGACCAGATGCAGCCGTCTCCCACACCCTCGGCTAGTCAACCGAGGCCGCCATGCCTCCGGTGACCGCAAACACGGTCACCACCACCGTAGTCGCTGCTGCCGAACACCCAGCCACCTCGCTGGCGTCATCCTCACCTCGCACCCGACTCCTTCCCCGCCGTCGACGTCGCCACCGCCTCCAGAGTCGCAGCCACCGGTGCCGCTGCCACCGACGCCAACCACCGCCTCCGCAAACCGCCGCTGCGCTGTCGCCCTCCACCACCGAGCAGCTAGCTGCCCGATGCCATGTCTTCCACCGCCGCCGCCAGTTGGCACGGCAGCCACCACATCCACGACCGCCGCCATCGTCGCCAACTGCCGCCGCCGCCGTCACCACACCACGGTTGTCGTCGCCAACTGCTGCCGGCGTCCAGATCCGGCCGAGACCGCCATCGCCACCTGCCGCCGGCCAACTGTCGCCACCATCGTCGCCACACCACCGCCGCCGTTGCCAACTGCCGCCACCCTCCAGATCCGGCCGAGAGGCGCGGATCTGGGTGGCACTGCCGCCGCCGCCGCCGCCGCGCCCTCGGCCAGCTCCGTCCCCGCCGCCTTCCGCCACCGCCGCCCAGCACCGCGCGCCCCCGCCGCCTCGCTGCCTGGGGCCGGAGCTTGGCCTCCCGCGCCGGATCCGGACAGGAGGGGGCTGGATCCGGCCACCCTGCCGCCTCCGCCGCCTCCACGCGCATCACCGCCGGCGGCGGCTCGGGATCCATCCCCCCGCACCAGATCCGCGCAGGAGAGCGTAGGAGCCAGCACCGCCTTCTCGTCGTTGTCGGCCCGGTCATCTACCTCTTCAACCGTCGTCGACACCGCCACCTCGCCAAAGCCATGCGCCACCGTCGAGCTCGACGTCACAGCCGCCGAAGTCGCCGCCCCGGAGCTAGGTCGGGGTCGTGGGCTCCGAACGCCGCGACCTCGGGGGGGGGGGGGGAGGAGGCCCCGCCGCCGCCGTCCTTGCGGCCGTGCGGTTTCCGGTGGCGAGGTGGAAGAAGGGCGGTGGGGGTGGTGCGGCGGCGGCGGCTGAGTCGCCTCCCGTGTCGCCCCTGCCCTGGGAGCGACGCGGGGGCACCGAAACAAAAAAAATTCTAAAGCTAGCTATCTCAACCCCGGCTAAAAGGCGGCGACCTTCCCGGAGACCCTGGCGACGGGCGCCGTCCGCCGGATGAAGGCGCTGACCCTGCTCGATCTGGATCCCAAACCTCACCAAGCGGCGGCACCGTGGCGGCGAGCAGATTTAGTAGCAGCGACGGCGACGGCGACGGCGGCGCCGGGCTCTGTCTCGATCGAGACTATCGCGTTCCGTCTCCGCTGCTCCATCGGAACCGCTCGATCGGCATGGAAGGGGATCCGACGGCCTCAGGATGGGCACGCGGTTAATGTCTTCTTTGCATACTAGTCCTTGATTTGTATTACTGGTAGCGTCCAACTATTCCGCCAGAATTCGCAAAGTCGTCCACAATCGGTCGGATTGTTTCAAACTAGTCCTTATTCGAATATCAAAGATCCGAACAACACAAACTGGGGGAATTTTTTTTTCTTCCAGAAGACTTCAATCGTTTCGTCCCCCATTGAACAAATCGATGTGTTCTGATAGTTTTTGGTGGGGGTGGAGGCAGTTTGGTGACTGACAAACAGGTGGTTGTGAAAGAACGAAGAACATTCAGAATATTACTGGGTGTTTGCCCGGACATACAAGTTACACAAGCAAATTTACGGAGACATCAATGCTGAAAACAAATGGGTTAGGAAAAGGAATTTCTTCAGATCGTCTAAATTTCTACTAGTGACATTTTTTCTGTATGGCCCTGATGAGCACCTAGACGCAGTCCCCGCGAACAATCATTTGGACTCGTGATTCCTCGCCGTGCCATTCTGCTGCTCTGGCAGTTCCAGTTGATAGAATGGTATCTGCTCAACCTGCTGCTGCTGCTGCTTGTGCAGATCAAGCATCTGGTTCTGACAGCGGAGCTGGATTTGGTGTGCTAGGTTGCTGGACGAGCTCGTGTCGCAGACCTCATTCGCCGCGAGTTTCAGGCGCTGCACCTCAGCTGTCAGTGCCTCGTTCAATGCTGTTCAATGCGAAAACGAACAATAAAAGCTGGTCAGAAATTCAGAACAGTTTCCGGTTCCTAGCATGGATGATGATGCACACATGTGCTCCTACAGTTCGTTTGATGTGTAACTACAGGTTTCCCATTGAAAGTTCTACTTAACGCATGCTCCCAATCTTGTGGAGCTGTCAATTGACAAAGAAATAAAACATGGGATTTCATAGTGCCAGCACTGAAGATTAATCCATTTCAGTACCTGTGCAGTTGAGTTTATCTTTAGACTTCCTGTCTCTTGTGACAGGGCTAGTGCCCATCAACATCGTGGCATGAAGTCATGAACTAAGCAAGGTTATTTGTCTGTATTAACAAGTGGAGTGTTCTCTTGATTGATACGAGAAGGACCCAAAAGATGGCGACGAAGCCGATGTCTGACGAAGTCGCCTCGGAATTTGATTACCCACAATACTACAACATTCTAAATTGCTCCCCACTACATGCTGGCGACTAACAGCATCAGAGCACAATGCAGCCTCGATTAAAAAACAACCAAATCTTGGGAGAGTTGCTAATTGTACTACAAGACTGAGTACATGGTAACGACTAAGTGCCAAATGCCAATATCCAAGGCAACCACGATGGTACATACGCCTAGCCACGATCAACAAGGTTTGGAAGTTAGGCGTAAGCAAATTGACATGAGGTTTCAAGTTGGTATTCAGGCCTCTGAATTTCGTATCGTGTTTTATCCTAGAAAGCAAACAAATCAATTTTGTGTACAATTATTTAGATCACATTTATGCAGGTGAAGAAAAAAAAAACTTTCTGAAGATCTCATTGCTCACCATCGCGTAGCTGCGCCTGCTGCTCCATGGACTGCAGCCTGAACTTGAGCTCGTTGTTCTGCGTGGCCATTCCCGACGAGTCGCGCTGCAACGAAAAAGAACCAAAATTGAAATTTGTACACCAAGTTGGTTCTGAAATTCTTGAGTCGTGAAGCAATAGCATTGGCTTCAGACCGGAGAACAAAGATTTACCTGCAAAAGAGTCAGCTGAGCGGAGAGGGTTGTGGCCTCCGTCTGCAGGATCTGCACTTTCTGCTCCAGCTCTGCAATGTACCGCATCCGCCGCTCCTTGGACCTCGCCGCCGACTGCCTATTGGCGAGCACCCTGCACACGCAAGAACAGGCACAATTTCAGCTCAGATCATTGCAGCAATGCATCATGTTTGATACGTTTGTAGTTGTATGCCAATGTGTAAGCAAGATGGCAAAGAAAGACTTGCCTCTTTACGCGCTTTGGGTCGGCGAGTGCCATCTCGGCGAGCTTCTCGTCGGCCATGATCCGCTTCATCTCGGCGGGGGTGAACTCGCCGCTGCCGAACTCCAGGCTGAACTTGGCCGGCTCACCATTGGCGGCGAAGCTGAGCTTCCCCATGAGGCTGTCCATGGAAAGGCTCCTCGCGTGCCGGGCCGCCTTCTCGCCGGCAGCGTTATTCCGTCTCTTCTTGCCCGCAGCCTCGCCGCCGCCGGCGCCGCCCCAGAGGAGGGCCTGGCTGTCGGCGCCGACGTAGTCCTCGGACTCGTTCTCGCTGCTGTCGGCGCCGTTCGTCCGCATGCTGCTCCCGCGGCTGTCCCCGTCGGAGTTGTTCAGCCCGTCGGCGCCGCCCATTCCCTCCAAGCTCATGTACGCATTGAGCAGGTCGACGTCGCCGGCGCCGCCGCACCCGGGGAGTGCCCAGCCGCCGCCGGCCTCCATCTTGGGCGACGGCGGTGGCAGCGGCTGGAAGTACCCGAACGGCACGTCGCTGCGTGACCTCCGGTGCGCCTTGCGCGGCGGCAGCAGCCCGCCGCGCGCCGTGTCGTCCATGCACACGTCGCCGTGAGAGGAGTGGGAGCTCGCCGCCGCAGGTGGAGGTGGAGGCGTCGGTGGCAGCCCCGGCGCACGCTGCTTGCCTCCTTGCTGCTGCGGCGCCGCCGCGTAGGGCGCGGCCTGGACGTGGCGGTGCATCATCAGCTCGTTCGCGGACGTGGTGTTCATCACGCACGCACGCCTATGGTGTAAGGAGGTGAGGTGAGGTGTTGGGGATGCGGTGGTGGTGGTGGTGGCGTTTTGCTGCGCGCACGGACGAGCACGATCGACGCGGTTTCGAGCGGAGGAGTGCACGTATTTAATTGTTGCGTGGCGGAGGCTGAAGAGGCTTTTCTGCCGGGCGGTGAGGCTGAGGAGGCCCCCTCTCCATTTTCTTTCTGGGATTCCGCAGCGGCAGCCGGCAGCGCCAGCATCTTCGGTCTGCTCGCCTATCGAGTTGGATCCTTGGAATGTTTGATATTTTCTCCGATCACCGTAGAAAAAAATGGAACTCGTTTGTAAATAAATCCTACTCCATCCTCCATTTCAAAATGTATAACGCTGTTGTTTTTTCGTATAATGTTTAATTATTTGTCTTATTAAAAAATTATATAAATATCATTTATTTTATTGCGACTTGTTCTATCATCAAATAAAATATAATCTTAATTTGTACTTTTATATATTTATTATACTAAATTTTTAATAAAGCGAATTGTTAAATATTATATGAAAAGTCAACGGCGTCATACTTTTTATACGAAGAGAGTATAAACTTTTTGCCTCCTTAAAAATATAAGGCATATTCTGACCATAAATTTCTCTCGTACTATTTCGCCTTTTTAAGTACGTACTCCCTCTGTACTTGTAAAGGAAGTCGTTTAGGATAATGTCTAAATTAAACCTTAGGAATATAAATCATGAATAACTCTCAAGTTGTTGAGTTTGAAAATGTAAAAATTATATGAATAGATTTGTCCTAAAAAATACTTTCATAAAAGTATACATATATCACTTTTTAATAAATATTTTTATAGAAACAAGAAATCAAAATTGTATTTTGGAGATCGTGTCACTGTCCAAAACGACTTCCTTTACAATATCATAGTCTACATTCGAACAAGGATCGAATAAATATCATCCTTTTTAGTAAACATGAGTATTACTGCACTAATAGTCAGTCCATTCTCTTTGTCCTAAAAAGTTTAAATCTGAATCCGTGAAAAAAAAATTACTCCCTCCATCCACAAAAGTTACACCTATTTCACATTTGAGTTTTTTCAAATAAGTTGTCCATATTTATAGTCTTTATGTATTCAAAACTTAAATAAAGAGATAAATTAAATATTTTATTAGAACACAAGGAGTCATCTAAATACTCATTGGTTGTATGTTTGCATTCACTTTTTGATCTTATAACATCCAAGGCGATTTAATTTCTTCTTAGCCTTGATGTCAAAAATAATATGCGTAACTTTTATGGATGAAGCATGTTTTTTTGGATGGAGGACTATTACGTTTTTGAACGGTGAGAATAAAACTAGTTAGAATCGATCGGGATAAATTGGCGTATGAATGCATTGTTGGATCGGAAGAAGTTGAATGTGCTGGTGTGTGCATCCTGCATAGTGCATACCATACTAGTCCATGCTTGTCAGAATAAGCTGCCATGTTGCACAGGGGTATACTTAGGGTGTGTTTAGTTCACGCTAAAATTTAAAGTTTGGTTAAAATTTAAATGATGTAATGGAAAAGTTAAAAGTTTGTATTTGGGGGAAAGTTTTGATGTGATAGAAAAGTTGAAAGTTCGAAGAAAAATTTTAGAACTAAACTCAGCCTTAGGCCGTGTTTAGTTCCTCCCAAATTCCCAACTTTTCATCATATCGAAAACTTTCCTACAAACATAAACTACCAACTTTTTTCTCCAAACTATCAATTTTCTTCAAACTTTTCAACTTTTCCATCATCTATACACAGCCTTACTGCATAGTGTATACTTACTGTTTCAGTATTAGGTACTGAAGTTTGATTTTGTCACTGGCGATGGTGGGGCATTGCCTTGGCTGGGAAGCGACGCAGTCCGTGAACAGGGGCACTGATATAATCTGTTTCAGGACCACTTTTTCCTTGACTAATGGATATAATATTTTTAGACGTCAATACAATCTTCGAGATACTACTTTGACCAATAATATCTATAAAAATAGAATATTTTAAATAAAAATATTTGCATATTATAATAGTTTGATTAATGATAAATCTAGTAGCATCAATTTTATATTATTGATCTTTTTTTAAAAAAAATTCTATTACCAGTCAAATTTAAAAATGGTTGACTTAGCACTATACTAAAAATGCTTATATTTTGGGACGGATGGAGTATATTTTTTCTTAATTTTTATTATTACGTCTTTTAAACTGTTAAATGGTGTATTTTTTGCAGAAACATTTTTATATAAGTTGCTTTAAAATATTAAATAAATCTAAATTTTCAAATTATAATAATCAAAACTCACTTAGTAATACGCTAATATTTTTCTTGTTTTACGTGTGCTAATTTCATTTTACGTTAATTTGTCTCAAACACTATCGGCGGTAGTGTTTGAGATCAATTCAATCGAGGTTACTTCCGTACATAAGTTGCAATCAAACTGTTCTTTTATACCGGAGTACCATCATAACAAGCTCTTATCGCATCTTCCTCCTGTTCGTTTGGTTCGAACTGGTATATACTTCTCCAGCAAACTAGTTGGAAGCTTTCAAAATCATCAATTCTTGTTCATTCCATTTTCCACGGGTACTGCATCTCCATGGTCGTCGTCACTTTCGCTTTCTCTCAGCCGTCAAAAAAAAAAACACCTTGTTTGGCCGTGGATCCCTGGTGCTCCTGGTCGACACATCACGTGCCAAATGGTGCCGTGCTATTACCTCATCGAAAATGCCGGGGGGTGACACTGTTACAGAGCTGAAAAAAAATAAAAAGAGACACACCTAGATCGATATGCCATCATCTGATCGAGACCACTTCACACAAATTATACCGGTATTATTTACAGTGCATCACATTAGCATTCACCTCACGGTGTTGAATTTTGTTGGGTTGGGGAGAATAGGTATATATGTATCGTGCAGGAAGCGTGCATGTCACATGCATTTGATCAGAAGAAGCCCGAAAGGAGGAGAAGCAGGATGCTCTGCTCGGTATGGAAGGCACTTTTTCATGGCTGGAAAAGCTACAGCTCCCTCCCCTGCCGATCGAAAGTGTCTTTGGAAAACCGTGTGGAGCCCATTGCATGCAGGGATACTCCAAAATGGTGGGCCATCCGGAGGCAATCTTGGTGTCTATTGCATGCAAAAACTGCGAAGTCCGGAGGTCAAAGAGAGAAAGAGAGAAGCATCATCGTGCTCGTGCAGAGGATATGGTCTTGACTTATCTTGTTCCATCTCGTGTCAAGCAATAGCAGCACTACAACGTTACTCATCACTATACTGTTCATATGAATCTATTTTATACGGAAGTACTGTGCGTACTCAGTGCTACTACTACTCTGGATCCCCTGATTGGTCGATGTCGAGGAGGCCGTCGAACGTTCTATAACGCCATGCCGTGCCTGCCGGTGTTCTTCGCCGCAGGGCCACGATGCCAACGATCGACGACAAATTGTATACTCCGTAGTAGTACAAGAAATTAGGCTTCCGGGCACATGGAACGGGACGGGTGTGCCAATGTACGATTCGCCAGGACGGTTTCTTCGCGTCGGACAAGTAAAAGCCAGCAGGGTGGAGCGTCCCAACGCCGCGAATGGTGGTGTCACCGATGCTGCCTCGCGTACGTACGTATCGCGCTCCTCCGATTGATATCCCAAAAGAGACTTTTACAGACAGCGACGCGGCCACAAATCAAGCCGTGTGCCGTGCCGCGACCGTGCGTGCGCCATATGTACGCGCGCGCGCGCGTGCGTGCGTCCCCCGTCGGCGTCGGCGTCGCGTCGTGTGGTGAAGAGGAGAGGAGAGGAGAAGCGTCGTCACGACGTCCGCGCGCGCGGCGACGCCGTGTGGCGCGGCTCGATAGTGAGGGGGACTGGGGTGGTTTTGGGCGGAGACGGGGGCGTGGTGGCGAGATGGATGGATCTGTCCGGGCGTGGGACAGGTTTCACTGTTGCCATTTAGGAGGGCCACATGGCGTCTGTAGCGTCAGCTTTCTCTTGATGTGCCCCAGGAGTGTCGGCGAAAAAGGTCAAGACGTTGCATGGCCTAACTGTCGCTATAGGAGGCCCAAAAGCACGGAAGGCAATTTTGAGCCGTGGCCTGTGGGCTGATTTTAGCAAAGTAAAGGCCCAATAAGATAGTAGTAACTTGAGCGGCCCATCAAACAACCTCACGTGAGAAACAGCAGAAAAACATCAAAAGCATTACAGTATTCACTGTTCAGGCTGTTGTTGTGCTCGTGGCAAATAATTACCGCGCGTCTGGTGGTGGAAGAGTTGCAGTGAAGAAAGCAGGGCGTTCGATCGCCAGCGAGAACCCTTTTATTTCACCGCCACGATTGGCGTGTGAATGAATGCAGACGCACACGGGTGCCGCCCGTACCAAACCTGAGGAAATCACATGAGTGGTCACAACCCAAAATATCATCTCCGTCGTCTCCGTGCGCGCAACTGCGCGTGCACTCGATGGAAATCGACGGGAATTGCGCACGTCGCACCACGTAAATCTCCAACGAGCAACGGTGTCGGCAACGCGGCTGCGGCGCCGGCCGGTGCGTGATATGATCCGACGGCCACAAGCTCGCGATCTGACGCCGAAACACGCTAATCCGATGGCTCGAGCTCGAGCTCGAGCAGACGATGCAGAGATCGATCCGTATGATTCCGATCGACAGCGTGCGTGCGGGGGAATGATCGCCGGAGAATTGGCACGCCATTGCAATGCATCGCCGGGACGGAGTGATGCCTGACGCTAGCTAGCTCAGATCGATCACATGGATGTGTCCAAAGTCGAGTGAAGAGTGAGCAGCAAGCCGTGCAAAATGTATCCTGTTCCTGCTGCATCCTTCACTCGTGCTTGCTACTACTATCCGATCATCCCTACTTTTGTGCTTTTCCGGTGACCAACGCGTGCATGCTGTGCTGTCCCTTTCCATTTACCAACCTCCATTTTGTACAAACAGTTTGTTCGATCTGTCTCCTTGTTGACCAGTCAGTGACTCCATCTCCAGTGCTACGTGGCCAAACGAAACTATACAATAATACGAGTTTTTTTTATCATAAAAAAGACCTGGAATGACAACGTTAACAATTTACAATGTTGCAACCCGATGCACGCTTGATTCCCTCATCGGCGTACTGCCGAAGTAACCAGCACCACTTACATGCTGCACCCAAGCATCTACTTATCTCTGAATCAACGAGCAACGAGACCCATTCTGATATGTTAGTGCAGTATCGTACACTTGTATGCTAAAAGGTTGCAACTTTGCATCTGAAAATATAAACTAGCAGCACAAGTAGCACCAAACGAAACGAGTTGAGGCTCCTAGCTAAGCTTAGCCTTTTTGCCGCTTACGCGAAGGATCTTCCGAATGCCTGGCTTGCGATAGCACCTTTTTTTCCCCTGCACCAAACAAAGGAGGAGAAAAAGGCTTCCACTGTCAGGGAATAAAGGGGGAGGGTGGAATGAGCTAGCTGAATCTGCTTGTCTGAATGTCTGCAGACTGCAGCTAGCTTGCTTGCCTTAAACCGGTTAATAAACCATCGAGGTAAGCTTAAGTAACCTCGCGTTTACGTGGGTCAGCGTCTTGATCACTTGTGGCCGCCGGCCGCCAAATGCACCGGCGTCCGCCGTGTAGCACGACCGTGGTGGCGGGGCCCGGCGGCCAATGCGTGCACGTCGCCGGCCGGGGAAGCTCGAGAAGCTCGGGAATCCGGGAGTGGGGTTGCCGGGATCCCCGCTGCCCGCCGGCCGGACATGCGTGGGCCGACGTCGCCATCCATCTCTGGCCGCCCCACTCTGGCCTTGCAGTTTCTCTGCAGAAGCTACTACTGATCTTTCTTGTCCGGGGACGACGCCGACGTAGAGTGGTGTCTAGCTAGCTAGCTGCAGATATTCTCCAGATCTAGGTTGATGACTGGTTATCATCTATCGTATCCTCATTATAAACAGCTCGCTCCAGTATGATCTTTGATCGATTAGTTAGTCTTGTCAGTATAGCCAAGCATTTGCATGAACAAGATCAAGGTTACTGATGGCAAAGCATGTATATATGCAGCTAATGGACTTCATTGTTGTGTGGATCAATGCATTTAGCCAGCTATAACCACGTCTAAGCTGGACCCAGTCATTTTGTCCTAATTGAGGACAAAGCATCAGATCTACGGTGATCACTACCATGATACTGTACCAAAATCTGCATCATATATACTGTACCGTGCTTTGGAATAGATGGAAAAGTGGGCCTGAAACTAATAAGGGTACAACCGAGAGCTGCAGGCTTTGTTCTAGAGTTATGATCAGTGACATCTCTGCACTGTTGATTAGTGCCTACCTGGCCATTTCAGGTTTTGTCTACATACATGCACAGGAATCTAGCATAGCACAATTGCAATTTGCAAATCTGCATCTTGTGTTTTGGTTGGAATGCATGCCTAGCAGATGTTTTGCCAAGAGTTCAAATGCAGGTGAAATTAAGGGCCTTGCTGTTTGATAAATCAAATCGGTACTACTTCGAATATCAAGAAGTCACATAATGGAATACAGTTCTCGAGACCAGATATATGCAAGGGTCAAAAGGATGATCAAGGTTTGCCAAAAGTACACAGTAAGAGCACCCGCAATGGTAAAGTAAGGTGCTCTCTATAAAACATGTACATCTTAGAATAGACTAGATTAATAGTAAACCACCTCAATAGTATGTCTACATGGGTATCTATAGCTCTCTAATCCATTGCTTCGTTTTTCTTTATAGACTATCTCCAGGTTAGTAGATAGCTTTGCTCTCTCTCTTCATTTAATCTCTTCCAAGTAGGAAAATATGCTGACATGTATATCTTATAGAGAGCCTATAGATAACCATTGCAGGTGCCCTAACATCTTGCAGCAACACACTTTAGTATTGAACACGCGCTGAAGTACAGTAACATTTCTGAATTCTGACTTTGCAACCTGATCATTAGGCTCCTCACGGTCGTGTCGATTGGATAAGTAAAGTGATCAAAGCGTGAGTAATTACTAATTAGTGTTGCGCTCCAGTGTGGCCGGCCAAAGTAGGCCTCGGGATCGGTGCGCGTGAGATTGTCTTTCTGGATAATTTTGACCTCTCTCTCTCTCTCCCTGGAAAGAACAGTTGTGATGAACAGCAATGTAAAGGTCAATAAAAGGCTCAGGTCTAAGGTCATGTGGAGTTGTTGTTGAGGACTCTTAATTATAGTGTACTCGCCCACAGGAATGATGCATGCCAGGCAAACAGGTGATCAACTGCTGAGCTTTTGTGTCTAATGACACTGAATATTTACAAATCTCTCAGGTTCTACACATTAATTTTTCCTACTATATATTTTCAGTCCACTGTTTGTCAGGATTCAGGAACAGATATTTCTTAATTAAGTGAAATGCACAGTGTGTAATTAAGTGAATTTCACAAGTGAAATGCATATAGAAATGTAAATTTGCAACGTTAAGTGAAATGCACAAGTCAATTTATATATGTATGATTTTTTTTCCATCTGAATTTGCAGGGGAAAGCTAGGTGTCTGTCCACTTCCAGGTTTGTTAATGTAACTTTGGAGCTTCTTTGCTTGACAAAAAAGAAAACATCTTCTTATAGTAACATCCTACTCAAGAATTTTGACCAATCTTTCATATATATGTTGGTGATCTTGTTGGGTTGATTAATTCATTTCCACTAGTAATCATGAATTCTCCTTAATCATATCATACTATTCTTCATGTCATGCTCCCTACCTTTTCCTACATTGTTCATTATACCGGTGGTTATAGTTGGATTCAGGTGTATAAAGCTGTTATAACAGAGTGCACGCACAGTAAATTTCAAAAGAAAACACAGTGTCATGAGTGCTTAAGACCACATTCGGTCATCGATATATGGTCTCACCATGATTATCATAGAATTTGCACACAATTTTTTATCTTGGAATTTCAAGGCAACACATTTGCACAGATTAGCACACTGGAAATCAATGAGCACACATACATATACAGTGGACAAGGTTAACTGAACCTCTCAGTTTGAGTCACTTTCATAGCATCATTGTAAACGATCGAAACTACAATGATGTAATTTGGTTCACTATATGATAAAAGGGATCGATGGATGCACATGTCTCCCTACTTAAAAATGTACTATAAAGGTCTTGTTAGCAGTAGCAAATGTATATTGCAAATTTCAGCGGCGAACTTATCGAACTTCTATCAGCTCTCAGAAAACCATCTGACAAACAAACAGCAGATCATATCCCCTATAAGTTTCTTCTGAGAAAATGGGGGGCTTCAATTTCCTGCCCAAAATCTGATTAACATATATTTCATTACTATATCCTGTTCCGGAATGATCATATGTCATTATCATCCAAAGGAGCGTGATTTTTGTGTGGAACAGTAATGTGGCTTACTGGTGAAGACTGAAGAAGAGGGCAAATGTGACATCAGCTATGTGGCCAAAAGGGTCCCCTAGGGCCCAGGGGCTTCATTCCCCCAACCCACGCGCGAAGGAAAGAAAGCCTCCTCTCTTTTTTTATACCTCCTCCATCTTTCTCTTCCTCAACAATTTGCTTCTCATCTTTCTTCTCTACTCCTCTCAAATACAAGAGCTCACACTGCTCCCTAGCTTCCTTCTTCATCCCTTGAACTAGTTGTCAGCTACTGACCAGCCTGAAGATAGATGCTAGTTTGTGTAGAGAATTCGATCTTCTGAGGTGAGTTGCAGTGATCACAAGTTTGCGGTTTCATCGATCAATTGATTTGGTGAATGAGTTGCGAGTTGGATCCACATTTTCATGTTCTCTGTTCTTACTTTTTTTTTTAAAGAGGCTGTATGCCGTTTCTGTCTTTGATCTGTTCGGTTATCCGTTTTCATCTCTCAAAGCTATCCTTCTTTCTTGGTTTGGTAGCGATTGATGTGTCCACTCTATTTCCATCAGATCTTTGTCATGTCTTTAGAATTTGAGTGACTGATGTGAGGGAGCACAATCTCCATGCTACGATCTAACTTAGCTTGTAGTTTTTTCAACCGTTTTTTAATCTCTTCCAATTAATTACTGGTTGGATACATATGTGATGAGAACTTACTACCGGATTTTTCTTGATGTTCATGTGCTGATACATCTCAACAAATAGGTTATAATATTGACAGGAATCGACGGGATATCTTCCCAGTTCCAACGTTTGATGTACTACTCTATTAGGCCATGCTCGGTTTGAAAGAGATTAAAGAGTATTGAGCTATTGGGCCATGTTCGGTTTGAAAGAGATTGAAGAGTATCGAGGGGGAATAATTTCACACCACAACAGGTGTGAAATAAATTCCCTCCAATCCCTAACGGAACATGTTCTTACTGCAACAAGCAGTAATATGTTAACAAGAGGAAAACTGGAAAATTATCTTTAGACTTTGTTGATATAAACACCTTTTTATAAGTCAAATTTGACATTGGATCAAAGAGGAAAGTAGAATTAGTCGCTATATATTGGATATATAGACTTAATTGATTCTATCTATTCCTATGATAAATACATGGTCCAAACCCAGAAATGATTTCATCTAGAATTTAAATCAGTCCAAAGGACAAAGGTTGTATCACAAGAAGATGAAAATGTAGAGCACCCCATTTTTTGTGCAATATATTTTCATAGAAAATACCAGACTCCCCCCCCTCCCCACGGGAAAAAAATGTGGATATAGACCTAAAATGTTGATATTGATGATTTTTTTTTCTTGAAAAGAACTGATATTGATGATTGATTCTGGTATTTCGAACTAGATTAGTTTTGTTTGTATTCCTACATATTATGTATCTTCATATTGATTGTGTCACTCTCAGCAGAATGTTTGTTTACCAGAGCAGAATCTACTACAAAATGGTTTGAACCATTTTAATTTCCTAAAAAAAATTATGCCACATTAAATCAAGATAGAACAAAAAAAATACAGAAATATGTTTATATAACCATATGTAGCTTTTTGTTGAAGTAGGGAGCTGATATAATCGTTATACTCCAGAGAAGTAATTCTCATGGGTCTTGAGTGGAGTGCAACTGTGTATAGTAGATCGAAAATCCAAACTTTTCTTATTTTCCTATAGCAATGGAAATGAAGTACTCCCTCCGGGCTGATAATACTTGTCGTTTTAGACAAAAGTGAGATCAAACTTTAAAATATTTGATTATGAATCATTTTAAAAATATTTGTCTTTCAAATATGGTAACTATATGTATATATTAGTCTTAAAAAGTACTTTAATAAAATCATATATTTGTTAATACTTATATATATTATAATAGAAAATAATGGTCAAAGTTGTTATTTGAATATCGTGTTCTTATCCAAAACGACAAGTATTATCAACCCGGAGGGAGTAGGAGTAAGGAACGAGAGTACCCCTTTTCCATTATTATTTTCCTAAACTTTTGAAAGCGGAATTTATAATGCATACAGTAACACGTTAAAACATTAACCATCATTAAAAAAAAACTTTAACCATCAATCTCAATTTAAATAATTTGATTCAACTTTTGAATGTGATATCATTATGTTATTTTTCAAAAATAGTTTCAAAATACTCACTTCGTTTTTTAATATATGAAGCCATTGACTTTTGACACAATGTTTAACTATTTATTTTGTTAAAAAATATAAATGTCATTTATTTTGTTGTAATTTGTTTTATCATTAAAGAAACTATAATCTTAAGTTATACCTTTACATATTTACACTAATTTTTTAATAAAATGAATGTATTATTAAAATTTTATATAAAAATAGGTGGTAGTATTATACCCTTGGCATATAATTTTTAAAATTTTATACTAGTAAATAATACTCCCTCCATCTATTTTTGATAGTCATATTTCCAAATATGAAAATTTTATTTTTGATAGGCATATTTCAATCCAACAACCTATCATCATAATGACTTTCTCGGATTTAATGCATGACTCTCCATTCTTTCACACTAGATTGGCTACATGGGCATTGAAAATGTAAATATTAATGAATCGCATGTTTACGAGAAATGACTAGTAACATGTTTAAATGGATGATAAGTAGAATTACTTATCTTTGGTCTGTGTGCTAAGATAAAATATGACTATCAAAAGTAGATGGAGGGAGTAATCAATAGTGTCTTAGTGACTGCACTCTCTATTCCAGAAAAAAACCAACTTCTGGCTAGATATCATCTGAGGTTGCTTTTTTCTAGAAACAAATCGAGGGAGTGTAATATAAATGTCGAAAATGTCACTTGTTTGTGGCTAGAGGGATTATATAACTTAGGGGATTAGTCAGGCATGCAACAAGTTAGTTATGCATCCCCATAAAGGGCACAGGACCAGAGATGTGCCATGGAATTCCTAGACAAAGGGACAGAATGGTCAGAGGCCGTGCAAAGAACCAATGGTTGTGCAATGCCCTAGCTGCTTGCTGCTTTATAGAGCTAGCCCCTCAGTCCCCGGTGCAGGCAGCAGGCCTGATCGATCACAAAAGGGGCTCTCCCATCTCCTACTGATCTCCATTTCTATTCCTACATGTCTACTGCTACAACAAATGCATGCTGATCTCTGCATGGCGTATTGCCAATGTCATTGGCATATATTGCCTTCTCTCAGTGTATTCTAAAAAGGATTTCTGTTTTGTTGTGACGATACATTGGCATATCATATTACTGAATCTCTGAATCCCTGCCTTCTCTGTGTATTGCTAACCACTAAAGAGTACTCCAGTTTGCAATGCATCCATGAATCTCTGTCAAATTCTTCGTGCTAAAGTGCATGACTGTCTGTAGTAGAAGACTCAACTAGCTAACATATACACTTTGTTGAGGAAAAAAGCAAGCTCAAGTTATGACAGATCCTATATTCAGAAACAACATGTCTGCATCCATCCATATAGTATGTGTTACACTGGTCCATGTCTCTGTAGCAGCTATGATTCACTGCTGACTATATAGCCAATATGCTCCTGATCACAGAGTCGACACTATCATTCACAGCCTGCAACTTTGCTGCATCCAGGCCCGCCCTGGAGCTCAGGCTTTGCCGTACTTTGCCAGTAGTAAAATTGTTCAGACTTCACCATACACTATTCTACTACTACCTCCGTCCCATATTACTTGTCTTTTTGAGTTTTTGTTTATCAATGTTTGATCATTCGTCTTATTCAAAAAATTTTGGAATTATTATTTATTTTGTTTATCATTTGCTTTATTATCAAAAGTACTTTACATATGACTTATCTTTTTTTATATTTGCACTAATTTTTCAAATAAAATGAATGGTCAAACGTTGCAAATAAAAAGTCAAAAACGTCACCTATTATGGGACGGAGGGAGTAGTAACTGTCCTAGAAACCAGAAAGCAAGAACTAAACCCCAGCATGGCGCCTGCGTTAAACTTTTCTGAAAGCACTGAAACCCATGCACGCGCTTAGGCAAGTTCATGGATGGTGGTTTAGTTCACATCCAACCAGTAGTCAAGTATGCAGTACTGCACTACTGTCTCCTCCTGCAAACTGCAACTGATGAGAACTAGCTAGCTAGCTTTGCTATATAGAAAAATGCAGCTTCGAATGATTCTACCACTCGATCGCTAGCTGTGTGCATGTCTGCTTGGAGATATAAAGATTGAGTTGTTTGCTGAATTTTATGCATGCAGGCGTATGGTGATCATGGAGTCATGTGTGCCTCCTGGGTTTAGGTTCCACCCCACCGACGAGGAGCTCGTCGGCTACTACCTCCGGAAGAAGGTGGCCTCGCAGAAGATCGACCTCGACGTCATCCGCGACGTCGACCTCTACCGCATCGAGCCATGGGATCTCCAAGGTTTAATTAATCTTCATACATATATACTTAATTTCATGCATGCATAGCTAGATCAATCGAGCTAGCTATATATAGATCGATGCTGATCATGCATGGATTGGGGTGGGTGAGAAGAGCATTGCAGGATAGGGTACGAGGAGCAGAGCGAGTGGTACTTCTTCAGCTACAAGGACAGGAAGTACCCGACGGGGACGAGGACGAACAGGGCGACGATGACGGGGTTCTGGAAGGCGACGGGGAGGGACAAGGCGGTGCGTGAGAGGAGCAGGCTCATCGGGATGAGGAAGACGCTCGTCTTCTACAAGGGCAGGGCACCCAACGGCCACAAGACCGACTGGATCGTCCACGAGTACCGCCTCGAGTCCGACGAGAACGCCCCGCCTCAGGCAAGATCTCCATTTATCTCTCTCTCAATCAACAAGATCGATCTACAGTTTCTAGAAAAGATTAATTAGCTAGATCTTGGTTTCTTACGGCATCCAGTAGATTCAGTGATTCACATGCAGCAGTTTGCCGCGTAATAAAAAAAATGCACGCTAGCATGAGTATATGGTACAGTAGAACAGTAATGCATGAACTGATCGATGAGCATTGGAAATCGTTGTGAATCTTATTGCCTTGAGGCGTGCGTAGTTTTGGCTTCTAACCTGAAGGCCGAATTCATCATGGACGCGCGCGCTCCTCCGATCCGCATGCTGCTGATGATGAGTTCAGCGGCGAACCAGTGATGGATAGCCACGTCGGCGGGAGGACTGGACTTTGGCGGAGTGTAGCGGCGGCGGCGGCGGCGGCGGGAGGACGGATTGATCGGAAGTTACAGAGACGACGGCGCCTCGTGGATTGGGCTTACTAGGCCGAATTTGCTTTTTTGTTTGGCCCGGCTTATTTCTAAGAATAGCCCAATAGCAGCCTTGAAGGCCCAATTGGTTTAGCAAACTCTTACTCTCTCTTCTCTTGACACGTTTAGCAAACCGCCCGTCAAAACTAACGCAAGATTCGTGACAACAAAACCACTTCGAAAAACGGGAGTTTTTTTTCCCGGATTTCTACTGATATCCAACTGTTTAATGTATAAGGGCATGTTTGATAGAACTTCAACTTCTAAATTTAGCTCTAGGAGTTGGGTTTGGAGTGGAATTGTGGAGCTGGCTAAACCCAGCTCCACCTCTATAGATCATTTTGTGAGAGAGCTCCACCCAGCTTCGCTTCTATTTTTGTTGGAGCTGAAACTATTTGCCTGAGCTCCAACTCCAGAAGAGATAGAGCTGGAGCTGGAGATGTGCCAAACAGGCCCTAAATTTAAATGTTTTTCAAACATGGGGTCGAATGTTTTTCAAACATGGGGTCGATTTTGTTTCACAAGTACTCCTTACTATTGATCATCGAGTCATTCACCATGAATGGTGCGTGCATTGCAGGAAGAAGGCTGGGTGGTGTGCCGCGCGTTCAAGAAGCGAACCATGCAGCCGCCGCGGAGCTCCATCGGAGCATGGGAGGCGAGCTACTCCTACCACGACCCCGCCGTCTTCGTCGGCGGCGGGGAACACTTCAAGCAAGAGGCCGCGGCCGAGCTGGACGGCGTCGCCGCCGCCGCCGGAGCTAACGCCTTCCTGCGGTACTCCACCCGCCTGGCCGAGCTCCCGCAGCTGGAGAGCCCGCCGCTGCCAAGCCAGGGGAGCCAGGCGGCCTCGGCCGTCGTCGACGGCGAGGAAGATAACGCCGATTCTAGCAGGCGCCCTGGCGGCGGCGGCGGCGCCGCCGCCGCGGTGACCACGGACTGGAGGGCGTTCGACAAGTTCGTCGCGTCCCAGCTCAGCCCCGAGGAGCAGCACACCTGCCGGGCCACCGACGACGACGACATGGCAGCGCTGCTGCTCCTCGACGGCGGCGGGCAGGAGGACGACGCCGGGAGGTGGCTGGGCTCCGCCGGGTTGCTGAGCGCCGTGGCGGCCGACGCGACGACGGACTGCGGCCTCGGCACCAGCTGCGTGCCTGGCGACATCAACTGATTCAGGGCCAAGCCGATCGAGCTCTCACTTCTCCTTAGCATAAAGTGTGAGATATCTACGAATTGTATGGATGGCTATATATACGTACGCCTATACATATGTAGCTGGTCAAAGCATCGTTTCAGTTTCAGTTTCAGTTCTTGGAAGTCAATGGATGTTGACCATTATATAGCTCCATCTATCACTGCACAGATGTTAAAAATCAACCATACATCTCTACTTCCTCCATAAGATGAAACGGAGGTAGTACCTTGTTATCGATGGCAATGGCATATATGCTTGGTAATAGATATGGTACATACGACCTGAGTTAATTAGTTGTCATATTGACAATGCTCCCTGGCATTGTATTGATCATATAATTGCGCTGCAAATTTTAGACATGAGAAACGCCTAGGGGTTTTCCGCCTAGGGGTTTTTCGGCTAACTCCATAATATGGTGGGCTAGACGACCTGGTTGGTTCGAAGCCTCACCCTTTCTAATTATTTGATATTAGGTCCATTCCTAATATTTGTGTCTTTTTTTTTTAATTTTGGACATGATATTGATAAAATTTTATGTTGTTTCACCAATTTTTTTAGACGGGAAAATATAGTTTCACTTGGAGTAGATTGTAGAGTACGCTGATAGGTACTAGAAAGTAGTCCGTGACTCCGTGTCCATTGCCTATGGATAGTAAATAGTAATCTGAAGTATGGTTTAATACATTATGTAATGCATGCATATATATTAAACTTTTTGTATCAATAATGTTTGCAAGTTAGTTGTTTAACTTAACTACCTTAATTTCCTTTTCGCTACTAAGGCTACACAATTTTTTTTATTCTACGTATTTACTAACTTGCTGCCTTCATGTCCTTATGCTCTGATCATGTTTATCCGTAATTTACTCTCTTTTATCATGCTCTTCAAGAAATCAATAACTATAAATGATTGTATCTCACTTATGTGTAAATAACGTACGTTTACGTACTTATGATTCAATTCATACTCAATTCGATGCACTTAGATAATATATAGTTGTGCTTGTAAACCGACTTTTCCGTGCTTTGTTATAGAAGGAGAACTCTCTATATATGAAGAACCTATAGAACTTACTTTTTATAACATGGCTATGTTTATATTCTTAAATGGTAAAACAAACCCTATATTCTTATTAACGTAGTTGATAGACGTTTTTCCCGCGCATTATTCATATTCTCATGCAAAACACCTTGACAAGATTTGTTTTGCCTCGAAAGGTTCATGTTAGCATTATCTTAGTTTTAGGAAACAAACACAAATAGAGATGTTGCCCTTTTTACCATGAACATTTTTGATATGTAATAAATGAAATAGATTAGGAATACATTAGTGAATTTCCAAAATAGTCCTCTCTCCAGATCCTTCCATACCACTTAAATACATAATACCACTTATCTTTTTATCAAGCACCTACATGATATTTATAAAAAATGTGGAGAGAATACTACGAAAATTGTGACAATAAACCAAATAAATAGTCATGACACCAAAAAGGCAACCCAACAAAGTTTTTTTCTTAGGAAATATATTATCACCATATTTGGTTGGAGTAGACAAGGTACCCACATAGTCATCCGTGTCAGTTGCTCATCGATTATAAGTAGTAAGGTGAAGTATGGTTTAATATATTAAGTATTTCATACACATTAAACTTTTGTATGAATAAAGTTTTTCAAGTTACTAGTAGTTGTTTAACTAGCTACCTTACCTTTCCGTTACCAAGGTTACATAATGTTTTTTTTATTTACTAGCTTGCCTTCACGCCCTTATGCTTCAGTCATGTTTGTCCGTCTATTACCTTCTTTTATCGTGCTCTTCAAGAAACCAATAACTACAAATGATGCATCTCGCTTATGCGTAAATAATGTTCATGTACGTAGTTCATGCTCAATTTAATGCATTTAGATAATATAGCTGTGCTTGTAAACCGACTTTCCCGCGCTTTGTTATCAGAAGGAGAACTATTAATTCATCAAACAACACATTTACGCTCTTAAATTGTTTTTCTCCATGCAATGGATGCTTAATTGAATAACGTAGAAAACTTACCTCTTATAAAGTGGGCTACGCTTTTTAAATGATAAGACAAACTCTTTATTCTTATTTACGTAGTTGATAGACGTTTATCCCGCGTATTGTTTATATATTCATCCAAAACAATCTAACGAGAGTTGTTTCACGTCGAAAGGTTCATGTAATCACTATCTTAGTTCTAGGAAATAAACACAAATAGGGATGTTGCTTTTCTTTTACCATAAACATTTTTTATATGTAGTAAATGAAAAAGATTAGGAATACATTTGTGAATTTCCAAAATAGTCATACTAGATCTTTCTATACTATTTAATAAATACAATACCACCTATCTTTTCAGCTAGCGCCCACTGAATACCCATAAAATACATACAGAATGCTACGAAAAACTGTGACAATAAACCAAATAAATACACATGACACCAACATAGCCAGCCCAACAGAGTCCAAAGTCGAAACCGAAATAAGCCCTCGTCCACCCCGACCTTCTTCTCCACCTCCCTCTTGCCGAAGCAAACATCCACACTCTCCCCGTCGCGGCCACCTCGCCGCCGGCACGCGCCGCGCCGCGCCGGCCGTCACGTCGCGGCCGTATCTTTTGCTCGTCGTCGCGCCGCCCCGTTTCATCGAACAGGTCAGTGGCGACTCGCACATGCCTTTTGCTCCCTATCTCCCCGTGCCTCTTCTTCCCCTGTCTCTCTCAATCATGCGCTCTGTCTGTGTGTGTCCAATCTGCAGCGGGGCAGCGGGAGCCGGAGGTAGGATTCGCTCACTCGCGCGGGCGGCCGGAGAGGAGACCCGTGGGCACGGCGTGGGCGGCGGCGGCATCCTCCTCTTCCCCGACCCCTGCCCTAGCCTCCTCCTCATCGCGCGCGCGGCCGGCGAGCGGGTTTGGAGGGGGCGACGCGGGCGACCTCCTCCCGCCGGGGCGTCCTACCTAGGTTCGAATCGCATACTAGCTTGTGTTTCCGAAAAAAATTGGGGGTTCAGTTGAACCCCCATGCCCGACATTAGGTCAGCCCCTGGGCGGGGCAAGTCCGACGAGGACGAGCGGCGGCCGATTGGGTCGTTGTTTAAACTCAAGAGGAAGCGCAGGGCACCGGGTTCGGCGGAAGCCAAGGGGGATTCAAACCCTAGCGTGGAATCGGAGGCTCCCGATGGTGTGGTGCCAGGGGAGATGGATGATACCTTGGCTATTATAAAGAGGAAATTGAGGAAGCCTAAGAAGGGCAAAGAAGGGGGTGATGCTGTGGTGGTTGGATCTGGAGCCGAAGGCGAGCTCCTGGTGGAGGAAGAAGATGTGCAGGGTGGTGTTAATGTTGGTGATGGTGTTGCAGAGGATAAGAGCAATCTGGAAGGTGTGAAAGTAGAGGTTGATGAAGTCATTGGGGGTGAGTTGAAGGATTCAGGTGGTCTAGGGTTGGAGGACTCCTTGTCGACGCTGTTTAAGAGATCTGGTCGAAAGTCTCGACAGGTCTCTGTGAAGGAGGAAGAAGGTGTGGAAGTTGCTGGTTCACATGGTGAGGAAATTCTTGAGAAGGGATCTGGTTTGGTTTCGGATAGGGTTGCCAAGGGCACTAAACGGAGAAGGCGACGCACAAAGGAAGAAATGAAAAATGCTGCTGCAAAATCTGAAAGTGCAATGGCCCATGAAGGATCGCCCAATCGGAAAGTTGGCACCTCCTTGCCTAGAAAGGCAAAGGCAGAGGCAAAGGTGAAGATTAGTAATTCCAATAGGCGCTCAAAGAAGTCTGATGAGAAACCGAAGGCTTCAGATGATGTGTTATGTCACCGATCATTGGGAGAAACAATTGAACAAGACGCGGAGACCAGGACAGTACTGGATGATGGATCTAGAAACTCATCTGATGGGGCCAGTCATCGCATTGAAGTTTCAGCTTGTTTAAGCAATCAGCCTTGCTTGAAACCTTGCTCAGGAGAGCTTGCTGAAGAAGTGTCTCTTAGTGCAGCAAATGCAGCCACTGATGGTGTTTCTAATGAACACACATATTCCGAAACATTATTGAAGGAAAGAAATGATGATGCAGGTTGTTCCCATGGCAAGCCACCGACATTAGCCATAAAAAGCATACCTGGTAAAAAACCAATAGAGATGCCCAAGAAACCTGTCCGACAAAAGGATCAGTTATTATCTACTGATGTTGACAATAAATGCGTGGTGGGCTCAGGTGACACTAAAGATGTCAATATCGAAAATCAGCCAGCTTTTGGGATCCCTGAGTCCCATGTGACTGGGAAGGGCTTGCATCCTCATAAAATGGCAACATCTGTGAAAGAGCTGGATGTAGTTGACGTGGTAGCACCCACAGATTTCGAGGACATGGAGAATGCATCAAAATCAAAGCGTGTGACACGTAGCTCCAGAAAACGCAAGCATGGTGACATGGCATATGAGGGTGATATTGACTGGGAAACTCTAATGCAGGAGCAGGGGCTGTTCTCAAACCTCTCAGCAGCCTTAGTAGATTATCCTCTCAAATCAAAAGACAAAATCAAAATCTCGGAAGTTCTCGACAATGGAGATGGTAGCGGTGTTGCTGCAGTGCGTGCTGGCCTAAAGGCAAAGGCTGTTACTCCAATTGAAAAGATAAAATTCAAGGACATATTGAAGCGCAGGGGTGGCCTTCAGGAATACCTGGAATGCAGGTATGTCAATGTTTTTATTTGCACTGTGATGTTTGCTACCTTTACTAATTTCCTTTATGCATCATGAGTTACCTTTTATGTTTGCATTCCAGGAACATGATTCTAAGTCGATGGTGCAAGGATGTTAAACATATATTGGATCTTGCAGAGTGTGGTGTATCTGATGTTTGTTTGGATGACGAGTCACCACGTCAAACACTTATACGTGACGTGTATTTATTCTTAGATCAAAATGTAAGTTGCATTGCTTGTAGCTCGGTACACTTTCATGATTTGTTTTGTATTATTCCCGAATTAAACCTAATTTGATCGAGCAGTAAACTTTCTCTGGCAATAGCTATAGCCAACGTACCTCCTTAAAGGCTTGCTGAATAAGTTTTTGAAATTGTTGACCATTTTTCTTTCCTTTTGTCTTCATATGCTTACAGGTTTCTAATTACTTCCAACCTATTGTCTTGTTACAGGCTGTTGTTTTAGCTCATATGTTCTGCTTCTGCTATATACCAAATGTGCCTGGGCACTAACACTCCATAATTTTTTTTTATTTCCCAGGGTTACATAAATGCCGGAATCGCCTCAGATAAGGTGAAAACAGACCATGAAAGTCCTCCTGAAGATGTAGAAGTATCCAAGCTAAATGAATCACATGAAAGGAAATCTGTCAGTATTCAAGATTGCATTGTCACTGAAGCAGTCCAGGATAAGAAAGCTGTTGTTAAACAGACTGATTGCGTTTTGACAGAAGCATCAAATGAAGAGAGTAGCTCTGCTGCCATTCACTGTGATGCTCAAGACTTGCTGCCTCCCTTGAAGTCCGAAGAGCTGATATTCAAGGAAAAGAATCAGGGTGTATTAACTGAAGGTAGAGATGAATCAGCACTTCCCAGCAATTCCGATATCCACTCTAAGTCTGACCTTGATGGTTTCATTTTAAAAGTTGAAGGTGGCAGTCTTCATCAAGCAGAAGCAGCTGATATAGAACATTCTGAAAACAAACATGAAGCAAGTGATAGAGTTGAATCTGGTGGGTATGGAAAAAAGATAATAGTTGTTGGGGCTGGTCCAGCTGGCTTAACTGCTGCACGACATTTGCAGCGCCAAGGTTTTTCTGTCACTGTTCTTGAGGCACGTAATAGGATTGGCGGTCGTGTTTATACAGATCGTGTGTCTCTTTCAGTTCCTGTGGATTTGGGTGCTAGCATTATTACAGGTGTGGAGGCTGATATAGCAACAGAAAGAAGGGCTGATCCATCATCTTTGATATGTTCTCAGCTTGGTCTTGAACTGACTGTGTTGAACAGTGCTTGCCCTCTCTATGATGTAGTAACTGGCGACAAAGTTCCTGATGATTTGGATACAGATTTGGAATCTGAATACAATGGTCTTCTTGATGAGATGGCACAGCTTTTTGCACAAAATGGTGAAAGTGCAGTGGGTTTATCCCTTGAGGACGGATTAGAGTATGCACTTAGGAAGAATCGTGTGACTCGATCTGAACAGGATGATCAGTTAAGAAATGTATCTAGTGCTGGAGCTGTAGACATTTCTGAAAGTGCTTCCACAGAAAAGGAGATAGCCCACTGTGGAAAGGAGGATAAGACAGATGTTCTCAGCCCCCTTGAAAGAAGAGTTATGAACTGGCACTTTGCACATTTGGAATATGGTTGTGCTGCAATGCTCAAATCCGTTTCTCTTCCATATTGGAACCAGGATGATGTGTATGGAGGGTTTGGAGGAGCTCATTGCATGATTAAAGGTGGCTACGACACAGTTCTAGAGAGCCTTGCAAAAGGACTTGATGTTCAGTTAAATCATGTTGTAACTGAAGTACTTTATGGATCTGAGGAACTAGGTGCCAGTGGTAATAGCAGGAAATTTGTCAAAATTTCCACTTCAAATGGAAATGAATTTGTGGGAGATGCTGTGCTGATCACTGTTCCTCTTGGTTGCTTGAAAGCACAGACAATTAAATTTTCTCCTTCGTTGCCAGACTGGAAATTGTCTTCTATTGACAGGCTTGGATTTGGTCTTCTCAATAAAATTGTCTTGGAGTTTCCTGAGGTCTTTTGGGATGATAATGTGGATTATTTTGGTGCAACTGCTGAACAAACTGATTTAAGAGGACAATGCTTTATGTTTTGGAATCTCAAAAAGACAGTTGGGGTACCAGTTCTGATAGCACTACTTGTTGGGAAGGCTGCTATAGATGGACAGAGTATCAGTTCTGATGATCATGTTAAGAATGCTATAGTGGTTCTCCGTAAGCTCTTTAAGGATGCTTCTGTACCAGATCCAGTTGCATCTGTTGTGACAAACTGGGGACTTGATCCTTTTAGCAGAGGAGCTTACTCTTATGTTGCAGTAGGAGCATCGGGAAGGGACTACGACATTCTAGGAAGGCCTGTTTCAGACTGTTTATTTTTTGCTGGTGAAGCAACATGTAAAGAACACCCAGATACTGTTGGTGGTGCAATTTTAAGTGGTCTTCGAGAAGCTGTTCGGATCATTGACTTGGTACACAGTGGTAAGGATTATGTGGCTGAGGTTGAAGCTCTACAAACTTACCAAATGCAGTCAGATAGTGAAAGAAATGAAGTTAAAGACATGTCAAATAAACTTGATGCATGTGAACTTTCAACTGCTCTGTGCAAAACCTCATCTGATGCATCCTATCCACTATTTAGCAAGGAGACTTTACTGCAAGAAATGTTCTTTAGTGCAAAAACAACATCAGGGCGTCTACATTTGGCTAAAGAGTTATTGAAGCTTCCTCCAGATGTTCTGAAATCATTTGCCGGGTCTAAAGACGGACTATCTACGCTGAACTCATGGATACTTGTAAGTGGATTGTCTAGTGAATTCTATATCCACAATTAACAGGATAAGGGCTTCTCCTAAATTCTTTTCCATTGCTTTCTAATTTGGCAGGATTCTCTTGGGAAAAATGCTACTCAACTGTTGCGACATTGTGTACGCTTGCTTCTGCTTGTTTCAACCGACCTGCTAGCTGTTCGCTTGTCTGGTATGTATTGCGCCATACCACTTTTAGTTTAACAGTTCTTAAGGAATGCCTGTTATGTCAATTTTCTTTCTTGCTGTTTCCTTTTGGAAGGGGATTATGTTATTATTTATGCAATATCTGTTTATCTATCAGCTTACATAAAATTTGCAGAAAAGAATAAGGAGAAATATGTCTGGCATTATTGAAATAACATAGCACTTATCTATGTACCATTAGATCAATTAATATATACATGTATTTCCAAATTGAGCGTTATTACAGCCTGGTGTGATGCCTTATTCTTTCTGCTTGAAATCATGCAGGAATTGGGAGAACTGTAAAGGAAAAGGTTTGTGTCCATACAAGTCGAGATATACGTGCTATAGCTCGTCAGTTGGTTAGTGTGTGGGTAGAAGTTTTCCGTAAAGAAAAGGCTAGCAATGGTGGACTCAAATTGCTGCGTCGCATGCCATCAACTGAATCCAGTAAGCCCAGGAGTAAGGATCTACTGTCAGGAAAGCCTATTGTACGTGCGCCAAATCAAGTTTCATTTAACCCTAAAGTTGCTTCAAAGAATGCAAGATCTGCTGGAAACCATTCACCACACACAGCAATCAAGAAGCCTGAGAACAAGGCTGCAAAACTGGAGGCTATGACGGCTACCAGGTCTGATGGTAGTTCGCTTCGTTCCCAAAAGCAACAACATGCTCTAGAACCTAAAGTTGATAATGGCCTAGCTATGTCTGAAGAAGAAGCTGCTGCATTTGCTGCTGCCGAGGCTGCTCGAGCTGCTGCCATAGCAGCTGCACAGGTCTGTGACTAACAGCTTTATTTTGATTCAGTTTTTTTTACTTGCTCTGCTTATTAGGTTTTCTCATCTTAATATGGTAATGTGAACTTGAATATGGAACACACAAAATAAAAGAAATGAGAAAAGGTGTCATAGGCCACTCAGTATTGTCATTCTTCTGGATCTTAGTACCTGACATTGCAATGCTCGGAAATTTTCCGTACACTAATCTGAACTGTGTTCCCTGCATTGCAAAATATGGGTTCTATATTTTTTTCTAGTCCTGTTGAAAAATATGGATGTATGAAAAAATAATGACAATACTGTTTTGCTCTTATTAGTTTTACCTGCACTCAAATATTTTAGTTAAAAAAGATCTGACAGATCAACAGTCAATAATTATCACATGGCTTAGAACTGTTTCTAGAGTGGAATATGCAAAACTTTCAACTTTTATTGGTACAGGGTTACACATCACTTATACCTTCCTTTTGTGTAGGCGTATGCATCTGTAGAGGCAGAGATAAATGCACCTCGTGAACTTCCAAAGATACCATCATTCCATACTTTTGCAATGCGTGACCATTATTTGGATGAGTCTGATACAAGAAAGAAGGTGTTAAGTGACAACCTTGTGAGACTTGAGTGCATATCAGAAATTGATTCCAGGAATGACAAAGCTAAGAACCCATCAGTTGACCATGCCAATTGTGCCGATGTTGACAGCTCAAAAATGACTGGTGATAACTGTACTCAGAGGAGCTACTCAAATGAGAATGCCTGCCTAATAAATATTAGGGATCATTCTACAGATAGTGGAGCCGTAGACAGTCGGTTCACAAGGGCATGGGTTGATACAGATACAATCTTCATTGATGGTGTCAAGGATCCTCTAGCCATTGAGAGGTGGCAACAACAGGCAATGGAAGCAGATAAAGAATTCTACAGTCGGATACGTATACCTGATGAAGAAGACTCAAGTAGCCAAAAGCAGACATGTAGGAGTTCTGCCTCACAGGTTGCAGAAAGCAAACCTGCATCAGATGGGCAATCACGAGGTGTAGAACATTTAAGGCAGGGTCTTATAAATTTCATATCCACAGTACTGATGCCACTATACAGAAACAAAAAGGTTGACAGGGAGGGGTACAAGGGAATAATGCGGAAAGCTGTCACCAAGGTATATATCTTTCTTTTTGAAGCAGCGTAGTATTTGAACTGTTAGCTTGATGAATTATTGCCTCAGCATTTTTTAATATACTTTTATGAATAAAATCCTTAAATTGTTTGCTTGTACTTCAGAATATTTAGAATAATATTTGTGTTGCTTTATTCCATTATATCGTTATTTTGAGCAGCCTTTTGCAACTCATTCAGGCAACTGAAGAGTGCATCAGGTCATATAATAAGTAATAATACTCACAGTCTCTGTTTGTTCTTGTCTAAACAGATCATTGAGACATGCACAGAAGGAGAGAAGATGATGACTGTTCATGAGTTTCTTGATTCGAAAAGGAAAAATAAGGTGAGCAAAGATCAGTTTGTAGAGAAGTATTTTCATAATTCTGTTCTTGGTCATCCCAATGGCCTTTGACTTCTGTTTTATTCATTCATGTAACTTGGATTTTGGTTCTTCATAATAACATGTTCATATAGCATGTATTTGACGGTAGAATGTTTCTCTTGTCTCTTCATAGATTTTGACCACGATTATGTTACAAACATTGCAGATTCAAACTTTCGTGGATAAGTTGGTTGAGAGGCATTGCCATATGAATCGGCCTCCCAATTCATAACCTGCATAAGCTTATCTGGGAAGCTGTTACATGTGGAGGGAGCAAATTGCATTCATCAGAGCAAGCTGTCCTTCATCAGGCATCGACTCCATATGAGCTAAAGTTCGGTTCTAAAGCAGGCATCATTGGCCCTGCAGTCAAAATCACCTATGAAGGGGACTGCCCGGGACATCATTGATCAGATCAGCACATTCGTTTTTGTGATCGTTGCCATCATCATAGCAGCGGTTAATGGTCTTTCTGGGACAATCGAATGTGTAAACTTCTGTGCATCGACTGGCATGTTGTGCTTGCAGTTGGCTTGGGTGCCAAATTGAGCTATATGGCTTGACTGAAGTGCCATATGAAGATATGGGATTCAGCATGGTTTCATTTGCAATGGACACCCATATACCTTACAGGACATTAGTTTAGTTCATGTGTTACAATGTTAGTGGATTAAACCAGTTCATTGTTCAGAGATAACATCAAAGTAGATCCAGTCTTGTTTGCTCTTTAATGTATAGTTCTTGTTGTTTCTAGCAAGTAGCAACCATCTAACTTAAAGTCGGCGTCATTTAAAAGATGCAGCAGTTTAACAGGGAGGGTTGTGTAGCGTTTGTATATCCTTTGGCCTTGTCTGCTTAAAGGTGAACTCCTCTATTGACTGCTGAGAGCAAAGTGATCGCAAATGAGAGTTAAGCTTCACCTACAAAGTTGTCTATTCTACCCTAATTTCACATATTTGTTTGTTCCAATGCAAATGTATGGCTATTTGCTCTGGCTTCGAGCATGTTCAGGCCTGACTTTTTACACGGCCTTGAAGACAGCAATACAGTTTCTTACATTACAGCAGTATATTAGTTCCTTTGTAACATTTTGCAACTAGAGGTATAAGCTCTCATGATTGAGCCTAATTAACTGTCTTTGGGTGGTGTTCACTTACAACACAGGTAAGGCTGCTTTCTTCGACATGCAAGTCACATGATGTTCACTTTGGCATTCAACAGGTTTCGGTAATTACTCTACTACATAGCTTACTTTTATTCCGTCTTACTGTTTGTTTATCATAACACAATAATGTTCACATGGTTCAATATCTGCTATGCATTTGTTTCTCAGATGCTACACTGCTACATATCATTCCTTAATAACTTATTAAGACTGCTCTGATAAGACCTCTTCAGGATAACCTTTTTAGAGCCGCATATCCTCGGGCCCTTTATTTTTTACTTCATTAACAACATGCCAGGCAGGTTGATGTGACCTTTTTCATGTACTCCCTCTGTCCTAATAAAATCAATTCCCTAACATCCCAAGAAGTTATTAAGGAAAGAAACAAAAGACCAAAATACCCTTAATTAATGTAAAAATTCTATTGGTTGATGGGTAGGTGAGGAGTATTGGAGTGATAAAATTTCTCGATTTGCGGATTGGTGGTAAGTAAGAAGGTAGGAGTTAGTTTATTTTGGGACAAATTTCAAAATTCAAACTCTAGGAGCTGGTTTATTTTGGGATGGAGGGAGTAGAGTGTTTATATATTACTATGGTAGCTTCTGTCTCGTGCTGCTTGCAAATGTTGCACACTTCTCTATGCTCTTTCCTGAGAAATGTTGTAGCACGGGCATCCAGTAACAAATGTATCCCAATTTTAATTCGAAGTATACGGGAGTTTCTTTGAAGGGAGGATTATTTGATAGTTCAATTTTATGACTTATTTGCTCAATGATGTCGGCTCTACTCAATGGTACATGTGAGAATTCCAGATTGGTTTTGCAAGAGAACATCCCCTCTAGATGAATGCGTAATTGTCCATTGAAAATAGATTGGATGTTGCAAATACATACATATTGAATGTTGAAGTTATGAAAAGGTCTCGAATTTACATATACATTGGAGTTCCATGTTATGTACTTCTGCAAATTCAAAACTAAACTCAAATCTCATTTGACTAAGTATTGTCCAGGTATATCACAATCGTGATTACTGATTAAGCTTGATTTTGAAGTTTAGCAGACCATTTCCCTCCCTACATCTAGTTTTAGAAAAAGGAATACAGAAAGTTATATACCTGATAGTCACTAATCAATTTTATACATGCAAACTTTTCCTGTTTATCTGCAAAATTGCTAAAATCTAACTTAGATGATACTCTTTTATTTGGGTGCATAAATTCAGCTGATACTTCAGGTTTGTCAATTCATGATTCTTGCGCAAAGCCAAACGGTATGCATATATTTATCTGAACACGCCCTTCATATGAATGTTTTATCACCATTGTTGTAACAGATTATCCCAAGTTCCCAACAGCATGGCAAGGAACAGATTATCCCAACAGCATGGCAAGGATCTCCCTTATCTAAAGTGGAAGTCCTTGCTAGTATTATGTGGAGAGGAAAGGATGAGAGTTGAGGTGACAATGAAGACGGAGAGGGACGGAGAGGGTGGATCCCCCTTCCTTTGCCCCTTGGGGTCTCTTTTTATTAATATGCAACGGGAAATTACATCATTGCCCTTGGCTCTTTACATGAGAGTGGCATTGCCCTGGGGTGTCTTAGTCCTTTATTACATTAGTTAACACAACACCCAAGAAGTTATAGCTAAAGATCATCTGCTCCTCCTGAATCTTGGAACTAGCAGATAAGGGGGTACTGTTGGAGTATAAACCCCATTCCTAAGGTGTTGTGTTAACCAATGTAATAAAGGACTAAAACACCCCCAGGGCAATGCCACTCTCATATAAAGAGCCTAGGGCAATGATGTAATTTCCTGATGCATATGAATAAAAAGAGCCCCAAATGGTCAAAGGGAAGGAGATCCACTCTCTCTATCATAACTGTCATCTTAACTCTCATCCTCTCCTCTCCACATAGTACTAAGCAAGGACTTCCTCCCTAGAGGAGGGAGATCCTTGCCATGTTGGGACAATTTGTCCCAATAACCATGCTTACCATCATAAATCTTGCTCAAGAGCAACAAATCTTATGTAGTAAATGGTAATCACTGATTTGTATTTTACCACAAATGAGATCATTTCCTTTCCTCTTTTACGCACAAATAAGGGGACAAACTGATAGCTCTTTTAAGTGTCTTGCATTCAAGCACTACTATTCCAAATGCCGTATATATAGTCTATGGGGGTCCCCTCAGTTGCTGTTGCCATCTGTCGCCCTGCCTAATGGCTATGTAATAAATCGGGCACAACACAATAACCATCTTTTACCAAGACTGCAGCAAGTGGCATAACCGGGGTCCAGATCTTAATCGCTGTCTTAACGCACTAGTCAGTCAGACGAGGCCACAGCGCTGTTCACTTTCATATGTGTTCTTGCGCGGGCTTGCTTTCTGCAGTTCTTAAATACATGGGGTGGGTGACTGGGTGGTGGTGGATTGAAGGAAACACTGCAAACGTGGAGTACTTGTATTCAATGAGGAGATTTCAGGTCATTGAACTACCCCGATATAACATTTGCACTGCTCATTTCAAATTTCCCTTGCTGCTTCAGTTAACTTTTGGCTGATTTTATACCATGTGAAAATGGTGAATTTTGTTGCAAAACAAAGTTAACATCATGTGGTTCTGACGGTGTGGTTAGATTTGATCCTTTCCTTTTGCAAGCAACTGTAACACATAAAGTACAGTAACCTGCTGGCTGAATCGCTAGCTGGGGTAGCATTTGTTTTCATTTGCTTATTTCGCATCAAATAAATGGTGAGAAATTGACCAAGTAGCTGACTGCTGAGTTGTAAGGACCAAGTGAACAGGGGTTTATTTTCTTATGCCGTGAGCGCGTGGATCGTGAGAGATGCAAATGCGCCATTTATGGGGGCACCATTGCGATCACTGAGCCACGGTCTGCATGGGGGTACAGTAACAGCAGGGTGGTGCTATGACATTGCTTTAAATCTTTGCATGTGCTGTAAGAATTTTACTATCTCCTGGTGGTGTACAGATTGGAATTCGGCCGCTCACAGCCAAGTCATGGAATGGTGATAAAGTGGACGAACATAAAGATTCCCTCTATTGATGTTCTTTGAATCTTCTTCCCATCGGCTACATTTTTTCTTTGCCAAGACATGAGATGGGCTGCTGAAAGCATCAGGCAACAAAGGCAGTCCTAGGTTTGTGAGATTTATCAGGCAAAGGTATCTCTGTACTTTTGCAATTTACAATATAACATGGTAATAATCATATTTGTAGATTTCATATAGAACAAGAATTGTATTAAAAAATGAGAATGGACTGATAACAGAAGTAGGAATTTTCTAAGAATCCCCACAAGTTAATCATATCACATTCTGTTCCACAGGTTTACAGCTGAAAGCCTGGAGCCACTCACCATTTATCATAATTATACACAGGACCCGGTAAGAATTTTCCCAATCTTCAATATGAATACTTGAGAAGGAAAAAAAAGGTGAAAAAAAAAGTAAAAGTAATCAGGTAACCTTCTTCACATTTCTGTCGAGCCTTGTTTGCTCTTCAGTTTCCTATTGAATTCAGAAATGTGTTTGTTCGTTGCAGTCTTGCTCTTCTCTGGAAGACCCAACTTCTCTCATCTGGTGAGGTGCCCCTTTTAACACACTTTGTGATTTCTCCTATTTACTCATTGTGATCATGTCACCGTTTTCTGTTCCAGATCTCCTCCAGCTCCATGGCTAGTTCTTTCTGCCTTCTGACAACAATGGTGACATGATCCTTGCCGTCGACAACCTTAACACGGGCACGAGGTATTTTCGCCTTCACTGCATAACTGCATTGCACAGGAAGGAGCTCATCATCCCTACCATGGTAGATGGTGACATCGCAGGTGAGCTGATCCCTGACGATCTCAAGGCATTTGTCGATCTTGCCGGCGCTGCCACAGATGATGTTGTGAAGGGTATGCCATGAAGCGATGTGAGTGTGGCAGAAGAAACCATCCATCAGGTATGTTCTGACCCTGTCCATTGGATAAGAATGAGTAGTTAGCAATTGTTTTTTCAAGTCATAAAGAGTGCTAGAACAGTTTGGTTATGTCAAAGAACGTTTTCATGGTCATATCAGAGATATCATAATTTTTAGAGCTCCTTTGGAAAAAAGAAAAAAAAAGAAAACTAAAGGAATTTATGAGGATTTGTTTCCTATGAAAAAAAAAATCCTATATGATCCTTTGGAACAAAGAGATAGCTCTCTCCAATTTCTACGGAATGGGCTAATGGTTTTCTCTTCCAATGACACAAAGTTCCTGTGTTAACTCTTCGGAGTACCTCCTGACATATTGTCCAGTTGCGTAATCAGGGGCGTCCAGGGGCCCGTGCGGGCCATGCGACCGAACAGGGCCCCCAAATTTTAAGGGCCCCTAAAATATTAAGTATGCCATATATATAATAATATTAGAGGCTTTAATTTTGTTAATTTGCAGTCCAAATAGTTGCAAACACAAGGCCCAAAACTCTGCAGAAGGTGAATCGATCCATCTTCCATCGTACTCCCGTCCAGGCGTCCGCGTCGTTGCGTATCGCCGAAGTCCCGATGCCGCAGCCGCTTCATCTCCTCTCCCCAGTTCCCTCCGGCCTCTTCATCGCTGATGATCGGCTAATTGCCACGCCCGTTTTTAATTTTACTAAAAAAAATTTACTAGGCTACTAGAGCCCATTTTAATATTTCGCATGGGGACCTGACTTGGCTGGGGCACCCCTGGCGTAATTAGAAGTAGCTATATTTTGGGACAGTGGTAATTCCTCCTCAAGCATCATTAAAAATAATCTTGGGGGCATTTCCTGGTGAACCACCATATAGCTATGTCAGCCATCACGTTGGTGAAACCACCTTCAAAAGTCAAATAACACAAATCAACCAGCTGGGTCGTCAAGGTCGTGGGACGATCCTGCTTGGATTGAATGGCTGGGTCCTGAGGATTGTTCTGTCGTGGTGATTAGGAGAGTGGGCTAGCAGACAGTAATCAAGTAGTAGCTGGTACAGTAGATGGCCACCGGTTTGTTTGAAATTTCTCAAAAGTTCTACAACGATTTGCAGCAACCACATGAATTCCATCCGAAAATCTGGCGTGACGCTGGAACAGCAGGTCGTGCGCATGTCGCTTCACCCAAGTACCACTGCTACTGTTGAGCCCCCAATTGTTGACCGGAGTCAAGCACAGTTCACAAGTCTCGTAGTAGTAGTATTAACTCCTAGCTATGGATGGCATCAGCATGCAGGCTGCTTTGCTCGCAGCGAACGCAGATGGACCCGACCGGCATCAGTAAATACCACTCGAATCCTGCATCGCCTCGACGGGAAATCATCCCATTCAATTCATGTATTGAAATTGCTTTTTCATTTCAATTTCATTGGTGTTTACCAACTGCTTATGCAGCTAGATAGCTAGCAGCCCAGTGGAAATGGGAAAACAGCCAGTCCCCAAATCCGCTGGCAGATATAAAATCTGTTCGTTGAGCTGAGCCGGTTGCTTACCTAATTTCACCAAAAAATATTTGACGCTAATTTGTGCTGTTATGACTTCTGCAGGCATTAGTCTGCTGATGTTGGTCTTAATTTGCAGATCAAATTATCTAAAAATCAGTACTAATTAAATACTGGGATTAGCAAAACCAGGGGATTTTTTAGGTGGGGGTTTAGGATTTACCTGTACAAGGTGAAGACGCGGAAGGCGAGCTCCCAGAGGCGGTGGTGCTTGCAGAGCACGATGCTGACGGTGCGGCTGAGGTGCTCGTACCAGCACGCCACCGACGCGCCGAACGCGATCGGCGGCCACACCCGCCGCGGCGCCACCGTCCGTAGCACGTACTGCGTCCCGACCTCCCCTCTCGGCACCGGGAAATATGGCTGCACGCACCACCCCCACACAACGTCAAACACCTACGTACACGAGATGTGGCCAGCGAGGTTAGCTTAGCTTACCGGCGCGACGAGCGTGAGGGAGCGGACGGCGGCGGGGTACTTGACGGCGAGGGCGAGCGCGAGGATGGAGCCGAGGGAGTGGGCGACAATGTGGAACGACTTGACGCCGTGCCGCTCGATGACGGAGCGCTCGATCATCTCCACGTGCTCCCGGAGCGTGTACAGCGAGTCGGCCGGCTTGGGGCTCCGGCCGAAGCCGAGGAGGTCGACGGCGAACAGCCGCCGCCGCGCGCGGGCCTCGGGGCTCACGTTCGGGAGCACCGTCTCCGTCCAGAACCCCGACGACGAGATGAACCCGTGGATGAACAGCACGTCCTCCTCCGTCGCCGCGCCGCCGGGCGGCGCCTCGACGTGGACGAAGAGGCGGCCGGCGTCGGCCGGGTTGCAGTTGGTGCAGTGGCAGTCGGACCACCTCGGCGACGGGTACGGCTTGTGCTGCTTGCCGTCGCCGTCGGCGCCGATCTTGCCACGCAGCATCTGCACGATGGCGGAGTGCACCGTGACCGTGGTGGCTGGCGGCGCCCTGACGCCGCCGCCGCCGCGCCGGGAGGAGGGCGACCGTGTCGTCGCCGACGCGGCGCCGGCGAGCACGGACGGGCGCGTGTAGAGCGTGTCGGAGATGTCCTCCAGGTGCAGCTTGGTCGACGACAGCATGCTGACCACCTTGGACCCGCCGCGCTCCGACACGACGATCTTCCCCGACGCCGCCGCCCCCGCCGCCGTCGACGACGACGAGCAGTAGCACGGCCGCCACGCCCCCTCCAGCATGTAGTCCGCCACCTTGTACACCACGCACAATAGCACCTCCACCACGTCGAGCACCATGAACACCACGAAGCTCACCGCCTCGTTCGCCGCACGGCCGGCCGACGCCAATGCCGACCGCGCCGCCGCGGCCATCTGCGTCGAGCTCGCCGCTCGCCGGCCGGAGGGTGGTGGTGGTGGTGGTGGTCGTAGACTGGTGAACTGAGCTGAACTGACGACGGTAAAGTAGAAGCAGCTGCGAGGCCGGTGAGAATAGGAGAGTGACGAGTGAGAGAGTGAATTGATGGCGGGTCGCATTAAAACGTAGGGGTTGGTGGTTGGTGAACCCCTCGCGGCTAACACCACTGACTGACATGACATGGCCGGCCAACTAGTGCTCTCTCCGGTTGGGCTTCGGACCAAGCAGCCCAAAACCATGCATTGAAACCCTTTCAGGGCAGAATCTGCATGCTGTGTTAGAGCAAGGTACGATAACACCCTATAAGCGAAAAAAAAAAAAAAAGAGAGAGAGATAATCAGCGGGCTACATATTTATAATTAGCTGTAGCATAAACTTTAAGATATAATATGTGTATGATAAGTGAGATCATATATTAATAGTGTAATACATATTTATATGTACTTATTATATGAATTAGCTATTAAGTTTGACTATAGCTGATTTGAGTTATTTATTGGCTATACTATTAAACTTGCTCTTAATATAGGAGTACTAAATAATCCATTTGATGGCGACAAGAAAGCATCTGTATTTCTACCTGGAGGCGACATGCCATGTGTATCTACACCGTAATTTAGTACTACCTCCGTCCCAAAATAAGTGCAGCCGTGGATATCCGTATCGAACGTTTGACCGTCCGTTTTATTTGAAAAATTTATGAAAAAATTAAAAATATTTAATCACATATAAAGTACTATTCATGTTTTATCATCTAATAGCAATAGAAATACTAATCATAAAAAAATTTAAATAAGACGAACGGTCAAACGTTGAACGTGAATAGTGTAAAACTGCACTTATTTTGGGACGGAGGGAGTATTTGTACTCTCTCTTATTTAAACCCAGGAATTAGAGAGCTGGTCCAAGATCGACGGGTTGGTGAAAGCTCAAGCACGTTTGCGTCGTCAAGAACACACTGACACTTGTGCTTCCTAAGCGGCGGTCACAAGGTGCAAGTATCGTGTGTGATTACATTGATTCGTTTTTTTTTCTGAAACTATTACATTGATTCGTTTATTCCAGCACTTATTTTTTCAGTGATTACATATCCACATTATCACTTATACGCGGGTTAGCTAGAGATTGTTCAGACTTAAATTTTGCGGTCACCGTACATAAATATTTCAGTGCTGTTCGGTTCGCCCAAGTATGGCTGCTGTTTGTTTCACTTCAAACACCTGAACAAGTGTACAAGAATGCAATCTCTCTGCAACAACAGAAACTACGTTATGGATCATAATAAATACTCCCTCCGTTTCTAAATATTCGACGCCGTTGTCTTTTTAAAATATGTTTGACCGTTCGTCTTATTCAACAAAATTTAACTAATTATTAATTTTTTTCCTATCATTTGATTTATTGTTAAATATACTTATATGTATACATATAGTTTTACATATTTCAAAAAAAAAATTGAATAAGACAAGCGGTCAAACATGTGCTAAAAAGTCAACGGTGTCAAATATTTAGAAACGGATGGAATATTACTCTAGTAGGAGTATAAACTTCTCTGTGAGAGATTCTTTTCCTATCATTGTTAAATATACTTATATGTATACATATAGTTTTATATATTTCAAAAAGAAATTGAATAAGACAAACGGTCAAACATGTACTAAAAAGTCAACGGTGTCAAATATTTAGAAACGGATGGAATACTACTCTAGTAGGAGTATAAACTTCTCTGTGAGAAATTCTTTTCCTATCATTGTTAAATATACTTATATGTATACATATAGTTTTACATATTTTAAAAAGAAATTGAATAAGACAAACGGTCAAACATGTGCTAAAAAGTCAATGGTGTCAAATATTTAGAAACGGATGGAATACTACTCTTCTAGGAGTATAAACTTCTCTGTGAGAGATCGGTGTATCGGGTTCAAAATTTTCTGAAGTTGCAAAACATCATATTTTAGATTACAAAAAGAAGCTTATGCCACTTCATTTTATACCATAAACTTCATATTCAGCAAGAATCCAATGACTGCCAAAGCAGACTCATAATGAACTCATCCTACCTGCTTGCTGGTACGGTGAATCTCATCTACCTCTTACTATAAAACCACTCCACGTTTTTATCAGTTACAAGTTACAGCAAGAGCACATGTTTTGTAGATAACTAGCACCTTTAAGATATCTAATATGACTTGACCTTTCTGCATGTCTTTACTTATGACGAGGAACAGTAGTACTTCTGTTTCTTCCATTGTCACGGCGCATGTGTGCCTCACCGGACATGAAGGCGATGCCGACGACGCCGCCGGAGCAGCGGTAAATATTTACTCAGGGCCGGCGAGGAAGGGACCGGAGGTAGTACAAGCTAGGGTGTGTTTAGTTCACGTTAAAATTAAAAGTTTGATTAAAATTGAAACGATGTGACAGAAAAGTTGAAAGTTGATGTGTGTAGGAAAGTTGTGATCTTATAAAAAAGTTGAAAATTCGAAGAAAAACTTTGTAACTAAGCACGGCGCAAGACGCTTCGTGTGGTGGGGCTCTAGCGAGTTCCTCGTTGCACTAGTCAATGCTGCTGCGTGATCTGAAATCCTTCGATCCATAGTGCAGAATCATCTGCACAGATCGAAGCCATTAATTGTTTGTGAATACTACAGTTACCGTATATCTCTCGACAGCATAATCGTTTTTTTGTTAGTACTTAGTACATGATCAGCTCACCAGAAAGATTACTGTATTTACCGTGGAGAGAGTAGATAAGTACTAGTACTGGATTTGATCTTATCTCGCAGTTTTACTTTCATAAACTGCAGTGACAATTCAGGCGTCAAAAGCTGCAGAGGCAAATTTCAACACGGACAGCCGTTGAGAAGCATGTAAAATATAAGTCTCATCTTTTCGCTTATATTTGTGCTTATATTTATCAGCTAAAATTTAAATTTTTAACCTTAAATTTGAAGTTGATTTTAAGGTTTTTCTTATCGTTGTTTATTTTTCAGTCTTTACTTTTAAATTACTAAGAACACATATATAAAAATTTTATTCACAAATTACTTTTTGTTTGCAAATATTCGCTTTGTGGCTCCGTGCATTTCCTTGTCCAATTCAGTCATGTAGATGCATGCATAAAAATAACTAAAAATGAGGAGACTGATCAGATAATTAATCACATAAAAAGCTTAAGCAGTAATTAACATCAGTTCATGCCGGGTGAGCAGTTTGCAGGTTAGAGGTGCCAACTAGTACGGGAAAGTTTTTTGTTAGTTGTAAACAAAAAGTTTTTTTTGTTTCCTTTTCCTTTTTCTTTGGCAGAAAGTACGCCAAGCTCGTTCTCTCTGGTTGATTTGGTCACTGGCTTAGGTGAGCTAAGCCGAGAGTAAAGCTGAGACAAGGGGCTCGTGTAGTTGAGCAGGTGCCAGAATTCAGAGATTTGAACATTGTTTATTCAGTATACCTGGCAATGCAGAGATCAAATTTCGATCAAACAGTTGCTGAATTTAGGTGTTAGTTGCTTCTTTGGCATGCAAAAGTTGGTACCGGAGTCATTAGCTGAATTGCTGATAGTGATTGTACCGGTGACATGACCGTGAAATACTAATATACTATCTGTGTATAGCCTTGTGGTAGTGAGCTATAAGATTTTGGAAAATCTGTGGGAGAAACGATCCTGGAGCTTACATGTGATTCATGCTGTATTTGTTGCGTGCAAGGAAGCAGTTTTTGTGGCAATTTCAATTTGGCCATTGACACAGTGCAAGTCAACACCAAATGACAACTAGATTTTTCCTCCATGGAAAGAAAATGCATGGTCTTACTAGTTAGTAACAACTTAATACCTGCATGTTATCATTGCATGTTTCTGGAATATGTTTAAAGAAATTGAAAATTCATCCATCTGAACCCTGTCCTGTGAAAACAATGTGCTCCAAACATTGCCTAGCTTTCCTCAAACATGAGTACCCAGATTTTACGTACAGGATTGTAGGACACCATGTTTGATACTACCAATAATCAGAATTTGAGACAGCTGAATTTATCACCGTAATGTAAATAAGTCTGAACCTTGCATTGACAGCTTAATTGCTGGTGATTTAGGTAGAGGCCTTTTCCTAGCCGAAGGGCCAGCTCGTATCACATCCCATGGCTGGACAAGCCCAGTACCATTTGCTGGTGTTAGGTCCAAGGCCCAAGCCCATATATCCTTTCCTGCTGTCTGAACAAGAACCAGAACGAGATTGAGCCCATAGAAAATGTGGACCGTGCTGATCCGACAAGTTATAGCAGCTATCTTAAAGTAAACTGGGCCATGGCATATGGCCATCATAACTTTTTTTTTTTTTGTTGAGATAATGGTCATGATAACCTGTGCAGACTAGCAACACTGACTTTTTTTTTAACTGTTGGAAACAGCGAATTGTTTCAACTAGTGTTACATCAAACAGATGCGATGTGCAGTAGACATTCCAACAGAAGACAGTCTTGATTGCCCCAACAGTGAAATGCCTGAATTCAGAAACCATAAAACAGTGCTAGTTATAGGATCTAAAACAAGAACAGTTGCAACTCTGAAAGTTTTCAGATTGTTACTGCTTGCTGCTAAAATGCATGCCAGCTGCTACAGTTAAATCTTGCATGCAGGCTAGGGATAAATCTAGGATGAACAGGGTGGAAACGTCGTGATCATCCTACTCATCGGAGCACAAGATTTCAGGGCAAGAGGACAAGCGATTTTGGTATTAATAAGCGTTCCAAATGACCGTCATTGCCACGCCTGAACTCCGTTCAGTGGATGCAATTAGCCACATCCGAGAAGGCAAAAGCAGATATCATTTCCGCCTCTTTGCTGTTTCCAAGTTGAGCACTATAAAAATTTCACTCTTTTCTTCAGATATATTCTCCCTGACGTATCAATCTGGGCCTGGTGATCTCATACAATTCTGAATTCCTATCGCTTCCTCTGTTTTAGACTCTGCAGCAGTAAGTTTCGAGTTTATCGTTTTGCCGTTTAATATGTGGTTATGGTGCGTATTTTATAAGAAAGAATGTGAAATCAGCTCAAAGTGCGCTTCTCTGGTTGAAAACTTTGAACAAAGCTTTCCATTGGAATGTGAAATCAGCTAAAGTGCGTGTGCTAACTGAATCATTAGCTTATTAGAAGTGATTTTTTTTCTAATGCAACTTGAAATAAGTGGCTAATACTTTCGATTGATCCTGGCCAGAAGATTTTGGCCGGTGTCATGCTGTCCTATTGATTATATCAGTATATGATATAGTTGTAGTTTGAGTTCAACATTTTTTTTTTTGAAAGTTAGTTCAACATTAAGATTATCTTTCCTTATACATGATAGAGAGGTGTCAATAATGTCGGTTTGGCAATTTGTTCCTAGTGGGTTTCTTCTACTAACATTTTCTTTGTGTTTTTTTATTGGGTTTTGATTACTAACTGGCATTCTACTTCCCATGTCATAGACTGAGCTGTCATTCATAAATCTTTCCAGGTTAGCATCATTTGACATTTTCATTACGTGAAATTAATTATGCCAAAATTTAAGATTCGCGCTCCAATCGTAGGGTAATTATTAGCGTCATGACCTAACATGAAAGCACGTCAAAACAGAGCATATACTGACTAGTCTCAGTGATCCTAACCCTGAAGAAAGGCACGCACACTAGGCTTCACATAAGATATGTGTACTCCCTCCGTTAAAAAAAAAACTAATCTAATGCTGAATGTTATACTACTAATCATGTCTATATAACTATATATTGCGGTGTTTGTGTATCTCTGTGTAATGTTAATCAACTAGTATTATTTGATTAACATTACACAGAGATACACAAACACCGCAATATATAGTTATATACACATGAGAAAAAAAAACAAAACTGCAGCTATAGATGATTACATTATGATTTTCTTGGATGACAAAGTTCCAAACTATCAAGATTTCCTGCCTGTTGACACGTACTATACGGAGAGTAGTATATACAGACATATGGTGCATACATATCTTCCTTATCACCAAAATTACAGCATTAGAACTAGTTACTACCTCGGTAGTAAGATATAACAACTTTTAACCATGTAACTGGACATGTAGTAGCTAGCATGCTTGCATTCATGCATAGTGATTTGCGTCGTAACTCGTGCGTACACGTAGACGTATACAGTACTACACATGCTGTGTACGTACTCGGCTACTACCTCTAGCCATGGCGGCATCGATCGAGTTCAGCAGATGGCGCAGGAGTTGGGGTTTTCCTCCATGCTCTGCACGACGTAGTGTGGTGGCACGGACATGTAAGGGTTGTAGCCGTACGCCGCCGGCCGGTGGTAGTACTGGTTCATGAGCTCGGCGAAGAGCTGCTGCTCCGTCGGCGCCGCCGGCTTCTTGTCGCCGTCCTCCTTCTTGGCCTCGCCGTCCTTGTCGCCGTCCTTCTTGGCCGCATCGCCGTCCTTCTTGTCCCCGGCCTCGCCTTCCTTCTTGCCGTCGCCGCCGCCGTCCTTCTTGCCGTCGCCGCCGCCGTCCTTCTTCTCCTCCTTCTTCTCCGGCTCCTTCGCCGGCCCGACGGACTCGATGGTCGCCGCCCACGACTTGCGCAGCTTGCTCACCACGTTCACCGGGTCCACCATCCCGATCACCGTCATCTTCTGGCTCGCCATGTCCATGGACAGCTCGTCGATGCCTGAACACCAAACAAATTCAGAGTCAGTCTGCAGTGGCTAGCTTCTCGGATTCGAGAGTTCTTGCAGCAAGGTGATCTGAATTCTGAGCAGCAAATCAAGAGAAATTCATTCAATTCAGTGCTCGTTTCTTTACCGATGAGCGCCGAGACGGCCTTCATGGCCTTCTGCTTCTCCGCCTTGTCGTGCACGTTCAGCTTCACCACGATTTTCTGCAGCAAAATGAACAGTGTGATCACTGATCAGTGGACTTACTTTAATTTGGCTGCTGATAATCAGAAATTCAGAACTCTAGTATAATTAACTAACGGCAGATAAGCAAAAAAGCAAAAGCAGAGTAAGGAAGGAATGATTCTCTTGGATTCTAAAGCAAATATATCCTTAGCTAGAAGAACAACTCAACCCCATGCTCCTGGAAAAGGTGACCACCTTTCTACACGAGCATAGCAAAAAGAAGAAACAAAGATCTGAATATCACCTTCGACATGTCTGATGCCGCCGGAGCGCGAACACCGGCTAGCCGGCGGCGAAGAAAGAGGAGAAGAATCCGGGATGAACTGCGAGTCAGTGGACAGGAAACAACAATGCCAATGACTGGAATGGCAGGGAGAGCTAGCAGATGAAACGCAAGGAGGAGGAGGAGGAGGAGGAGCTGTAAATAAAGGTGCGGTAGCAGCCGGGTGTGTCACGTAACAGAAGGGGAAAGTGAAGATGGGGCAAAGTTGGTGGTCAGTGCCAAATCTTTGTTCTCTTGCTCCCAAACAAGTGTGCTTGGCACTGTTTCAGCTTAAGCTCTTAGGGTTAAGGTTAGGTGCGATAGTTTGTGTTAATCTTATCTGAAATGTAATTTAACTAGTGGGACTGTTCTTTCAGCAAAAGAACTTATAACTTATCTGAAATAATTCATTTAGAAACACCACCTGAGGTAAGCTTTGGATAATTAGTTTTTGTCATCATTCCCACCATTTTTATCGTGTTTTCCCCTCACAAGTCACAATTATATACTTGCTTATAAACTATTCTATTGAAATATTGAGTACTTAGGAGTAGTACTTAGCAACTTAGTGTAAGATCAACGTGTGTTTTGATTAATATTCTGTGATGAACAATTGGCATCTGTAATTATTGGTTTTGATATTTGGAGATTATTGTCGAAGTAGTTTTGGATATAATTGGAACATGGTTTGCTGTTTTGTTGGGACCGGTCAGACCGGGCGGTGGTTGCCGGTCAGACCGGCTTTTGTTGAGCGGTCAGACCGGCCGGCCCGCGGTCTGACCGGCCGACGCTGTGTCGGTTTCGGTTTCGGGTTGTTTCTTTGGATATCCGTGATTGTTTCATGGTTATGGCTTCTAGATGGATACTATACGTATGTAATACTGTTGTTTGCTATTAATGAGTCAAGTTGAAGATAGCTTGGTCTCGGAATATGGTTTCTTTGTTTATTTCATGTGTAGGTGACTCAATGCCTCGGGAGAGTATTGCGGTGATGGACCGGGAGTCGACTTGGTGGTAAGGCGATGTCCGTGGTGATCAGATATCATGTGGGATACTAAGGCTAGAGTTGATGCACATGGTTGGTGAAGATTCCATATGGCATACGATGGAGGTATTGTGTACGTATGGGATGCGGAGTCGAATTTGGAAGGAGTCTAAATTTGGTATGATTGGTTATGTAAAGTTTGTTTCTTGTACTAGAGGGTTTCCTAGGGTGTTTAGGACTTTTAGTATGAGTTTGATTTGTGGCTTTAGGCTGCCTACCTCGGGTATAAATAGAGGGGGAGCGTGAGGCTTCCCGGTATCGCTTTTGAGAGCAATTGAGTTGAGTTTTGAGTTAGGGTTTCGAGTTTAGTTGAAATTTTTGTAAGGAGTGCTGTTGGTGCACTTTGTAAACATAGAGAGAATCAATAAAGTTGTCATCCACTTTAAGAGTTCTTCGATTTGTATTTCACCGGGTTTCGGCGGTCTAACCGACGACTCACCGGCGGTCAGACTGGCGGGAGCAAGGCGGTTAGACCGGCGGCGGCAACAGGCGCGGCAGGCGACTTCGGCGGTCGGACCGGTTGATCTATACCAGTCAGACCGACTGCATTCACACGGTTAGACCGGCAGATCATCTCGGTCAAACCGACTTTCGTCGAATTCGAGGGTAACTTTTATTTCCGCTAAAAGTTTGGGTTTTTGGGTATACCAACCATTCAACCATCTTTGGTTGGCTTAGTTATTGTGATTCGATTCTATACTTAGGCCATGTTCAACTTAATCATCGGATAATTTACTCCACGCTTAAAAGTATTTTTTTCTTTAAAACCTTTCTTGACAGTTTATTTAAACTATTTATAAAATTTATTTTTATTAAATATCTAATTTACCTCTATAACTAAGTAGATAATCGGTGAGACCGTGATAGTAATCTAAATCTCTTAATCCTATATGTTTTTTTTCCACCTCACTTTACTCGGGACTTATTACACAGGGTTACATCACTCCCTAATAACATTGGATTTATCTCTTCCTATTAGTCATGTTTTAATTTGATGTTTTATGAGGTGATGGATGACATCGTATTCCGTATTAAAATATTTTTTAGAAAAATTATATTAGATGCTATAATGAAATAGTTCGTGAGAGTAATATAAATTTTTTTATAAGAGAAACCACATCCATCTCTTCATTGTCTGTTTCTAAAAATAAAAAAAAAATCTTTTTGTTCAAATCTTGACATCATCTATCCTACACGTAGGACCTTGATATTGCACCAGAAATAATAGATGGCTGAGGTGGCTTCTTAAAGAAACCCCAAATCGTAAGACAATGTGTGATTATCTTCTGAGTATTCTGTTATGAGATCCTGAAATAAACCTAACCGATTACAATTAGTATGTCACTGTTGGATGTTCATCACCACAAACCATCTAACCTGTGATATATATGATGCCATTTCTCGACACCAGTAATGCTGATGAGACTGATGACCGTGATGCGTTTTCTGCCTGCTTTCCCAACCTCCTAAATTTCAGCTAGCCCCTCCATCAGTCATCACTCATCACCCTTCTATACCGTCTCTCTCCGACCTTTTTTATTCTAACGTGGCATTGATAATATAAAGGTGACGTGGAGATAAAGTTCGTCAGAGAGAAGGTTGGCTCCACTGGGCTTTGTGTTTGCAACTTGGTGTCTTGTTTCGATCGGGGCCGAGCCCGGAGCGGCAGAGCGCTGCCACCAATCGAGTCCACATCGCAACCGCTGTGTGCAAAACGGAATCGTGCACTACACATTCACCGGTTTTTTCGCAGTGCCGTTTGTATTGTATTGCGACCTTTAGATTCTTGCCCAATACCGTTCCTGCGTGTCCAGTGGTTTAGGTGACACAGTGAATATGAATGTTAACCCTTTTTCTTATCGTATCGAAACTTGTTACATACATGACTCTAACGACAACAGAGGATCAATGTAAACTATCTATCTATCTATCTATCTATCTATCTATTATCTATCTATCTATTATCTATCTATCTTCTATTATATACTAAAAGTCCATTAAACTTCCTATAAACGCTCTCAAGCCGCCACTTGGCGCTCTAATAAATTAGAGAAATCTAAAAAATTCTAGGAAAAACGCAAAACATCTGACCCTCGATTTTCACTTAATATAGCGGGCCCATCATTTTACACCATTAGATCTATATTAAATAAAATAAACCAAAATCCCATCCTCATGGGCCTCCACTCCTCCTCACGTAAAAATCACGTACATGTACGTACATATATACGTTCCTCCCTCACAACCTCTCTTTTCTTCATTCCATCCATCTTCTAATTTTTTAAGATAATAAATTTATTATGTAAAAAAAATTAGATAACTAAATAATTATAATTTTTAAAACATATTCTATTTATCTATATTAGCCATGTGTTTTGATATATAAGAAATACATTGTTTGACAAAAACTCCTACAAATAGCAAAAAAATAATAACATGTGGTCGCAAATAATTTCACGTCATCTCTCCTTGCTCACTTTGGCCTCCTTAATTTCTAGCTGGCAAATAATAAATATCCATTAAATTAAACATCGTGTATCACAATATATCTATTATATACTAAAAATCTATTATACTTCCTTCAAATACTCTCAAGTCGTGCCTTTCTGCGAACGCTCATACGTATATCGCCATGTGACGCGATAATAAATTAGAGAATTCTAACAAAAAAGTGAAACATCTAACACTTAAACTGTGGATCCGTTATTTTTGGACCATTAAATTATTAGATCCAATTAAATATAATCTCTTACTTCTAATATACAGTTTCTATACGAGAGAACATACATCCGAAAAGAAGATCCATCTGAAAGTGATAAAAAAAAGATCAAAATAAAAAAATATAAAAACCAAAAAACAATTACAGATTGAAAAGAAAAATTAACAGCTAACATACGAAACGTCCAATCCGGCAATCTGCTCACCGCTTAAGCATGTATATGCACCATCTATTCTTTTTTTTAAAAGTTGTTAAGAGCTAAAGCATAATAAATATTAGAAAACATTTGATTTATATCTCCAATTAAATATAGACTTCCATGGTTACATCTCTCGATGTCCTCTTCATGGAGGGTTACATGCATGCGTGCATCCTTGCATGTATTAACTTTTAAAAAATATATGTTAGTTTTATGCTCAGCTTAATTCTTTTTATTTCTTACAATCTACCCATCTATCTATCTATTAATTATATACTGAAAGTCCAATAAACTTCGTATAAACGGTACTAAGCCGCCACATAGCATCTCTATAAACAGTTCTAAGCTGCCACATGGCGCTATAATAAATCACATAAATTCTAAGAAAAAAAGCATTTAACCGTTGGTTTTTATTTATTTTGGTAGACCATTGTTTTATCCATTGAATCTATCTTAAAAAACTACCAATTTAATTTATCTCTAAAAGTCCCCACTTCTAGGTGCAAATAAGTATGTACCCGCGCAGGTCCCATGTTCCTCTCTTCCGTTTTGTTTTTTTTTTTTGTGAAATCCAAAAAGCATAGTTGGGATTTAAAATTAAAATTCAAACCTCCTTTGCATTTTAGGAAAAAAAGTGTGTGATTGGGGCTCCTATTAATTGCATCACTATACCGTTCTTTAATTTACACGAATACATTATAGTAAGTCTGATGAAAAAAAATTCATATCCTACCGATATCATGCAAAAATAAACATAGGGAAGTTTAATTCCATTAAACATCTTATGAACACTCCTAAACTTGTACATGATACTATAATAAATTAGAGAAAATAATAGAAATTATCATAAAAAGATAAAATATAACATGTTTAGCAGTCCGGGAAACGTTCTCACTATGAACTAGATGGGTACCCTGCGCATTGCTGCCGGAGAATTGTGTGATAAAATAGTAGGTATGAGTAGTAGAAAAAAATATCTTACTTACTGTATGATTTTCTTTCATGTGCTTGTATATTTTGTACCTTGATCAATTATTCAAAAGTTACAAATGGTTGAGTTGTATGGTGTGGCTTTTGGGGAGAAGAGATGCAATTTGCACCCTTGGTGAATCATCCAAGGGCTAAAAACAATTGAGGTGATGTGGCTTCATGAGAGAAGAGAGAATTAGCATTAGCTACACTTAGTAGGGATGAACTTTATAGATATATAGGATAAGGGAGTAGCCACTCTGATAGGC